AAACTAGAAGCACCAGGTTTTAGTGAGAGACCCTGCCTCAAAAATATGGAGAGCAACCTCCAGCCTCCACATGCTCATTCACACCTGCATGGTGAGCACACACATTTGCACATTCTCTTTCTCCATCCTTTATCTTCCCCTCCAACTCCCTTTATGGGAGCCATTGCAAAATTGATGCTGGAGTTTTGAGCTCTGCCCTCCTGCCCATGATCCTTACATCTGCCGCATAGGTGGGGTATTATCAGCCTTTGGCTGATTGCCACTCCAATCAGGGAATTTTTTTTTTTTTTTTAATTGGCACTTTGCATGTTTCTGAGGAGGAGCAGAGACAGATGGTTTGCTGTCCTCCCAGCACACACTTGTTTCTAAGTAGTTAGCTCAGGTGCTGGCTTTTAAATCTAACAGCCTGTGGCACTTACTGTGTTTCAAAAACCCTCGTGTATTGTTGTCTGCATGTATGTTCGTGTATTGTGTGCATGCCTGGTGGCCATGGAGGCCAGAAGATGGCATGACCTCCCCTGGTACTGGAGTTACAGATGTGGGTGCCGGAAGTCCTGCCCAGATCTCTGGAAAGGTGGCAAGTGCTCATAACCACCAAGTCGCATCTCCAGCCCCAGAAATCAGAATTCCAAGTTTGAAGAATGGAGGCACCTGCTAATGTTGTTGGTGACATTTATGTAGCAGTGGGGGTGGCCCCTGCTTTCATAGAACTTGTTGCTTAGACTAAGCAGAGGTAGTAACACGCTAGAGGATGGGGTGTGTACAAGTCGGGGGGGGGGTCAGTCTACAGCAGAGTGTGCCTGAGTGTGCTTTGGCAACCTGGGCAAAGGGAAGCAGCAGGGCATATTTCCTCTTCCCCTGAGGGTCGGTTGAATAGGTGGTGGGAGGGACAGAGTGTTGGAGCCAAGGACATACAGCCCATCAAGCCATGGGGTAGGGAAGCAGCAGAGAGCAGACAGCAACCTAAGGGCAGTGTATTGGAAGGGATGCTTTTATGAAGGACTTGTTGGAATTTCTTAAGCAACCACATTACTAAAGAGTACTTGGCTAATTTTTGGCTGGCGCTGGGCGTCCCTTCTGTCAGTTCCCTCTGCCAGTGTTTAATGCTCTGAGGCAGGGCACTTACTTCATACTGTCCCTGTGAAGTGGTTAGATGTGGTAATACTCTCCTTTATCACAATAAGGAAACAGTTTTATCAAGATCACTGAGCAGATCCCAGGCAAAGCCACCCTAGACAAGCTGGGATCTTTTGGCTCCCCGCTTCAGCGTCCAGCCTCTGTGGCCCTCATTTCCTGGTAAGCCTTTATGAGATGTAGCATCTTCATTAAAAATGCTGCCCTGTTGAAACCTGACACCAAACGAGCTCTGCAGGGGCCTCCAGTCTCGGTGTCGAGGTATTTCTTCTGTTTAGTTCCGTTCAGCTTAGTGAAACAAGAAGACCTTTGCAAACACTCTTCCTTTTGGTGTCAACACTGAGGGTTGCTCTAGGAGCCAACAGATCAGACCATGCCAGAATTCTGCCTTCTGTTTTTTATTTTGTTTTATTTTATTTGGTCTGAAGCACTTGCATGACGTAGTAGTGAGAGACAGTGAGTGAAATGTGAACCCAAAAATGCAGCTTTGCTGCCTGTAGAAGGAAATGAAGAAACACTGCTCCTTAACAAATGGTCTTGGTCATGCGTGAAAGAGACCCAGGTCTCTCGGTGAGCTTGTCTCAGGCACCAACAGTCTTTGGAAAGCCAGTTTGACAGGATCTTGAAGCTTGGCTCAGCTGTTTCAGAGCCCTTATGTGACCTTGTGTGGCACACAATTTTAGTCCGTCTCTTGTAAAATCTGCCTAACACAGCGGTTGATATGAGAGTGAAATTGGATATTGTACACCATTCCCTGAGACATTTTCATTGATCTTAAGGTTTTTCCCCCCTGCAAATGGGATGTATATCTTAGGGCTGATGGATGCATTTAGTGGACTGCTTTCTCCATGCCAAGCCTAGTGATCAATTTGATAATCAGTGGTATCAATTTGAGGAAATTATAGCATGTTTAAGAGTTTAATGCAGTGCCCAGTGCAATATGCCTTTACTAAGTGGCTGCTGTGTTCTCTGCTTAATTGAGTAGGGCTATTGTTCTTGGGTTAAGGCCATGCCCCAGTGGGGAAGTAAGCCTGCTGGAGCATTGGCCTCTATGTAGAGTGACAACAGAGAGAAGGAGTAGTTAGTGGTGTATACCACCTAGGAATATGACCCCCGAGTGCCGAGACAACAGCGAGAGCTGGGAGTTAGTCAGCCTGGGTACCCTTAGGGAAAGCCCCACTCTTCCCGACTGTCAATTACTGATTTTGCTGTTGTGTTTTATTATCTTGGGTTCTATAAGAAATCTTGGAGGGGGAAAAAAAAAAAAAAAAAAACAAAACACCTGCCACTGAGCCTCAGCTACTTAGCCAGGACTGAGTGTTCATTCTTTGGCAAGAGCTACCTTCAGAGCCTGGTTCTGCTCAGCAGAAATGGCAGTACAGAGCCCTCATGAGCCCTGCGCAGTGGGGGGGGGGTGTGGGGGGGTGGAGGGGTAGGGGTGTTCAGGTTTCAAGAGCCAGATCAGCACACGGGTTTGCTCAGAACCTCCTCCCTTTTTGGGAAGTTTCCTTTTCCTTTTGGTGGCAGACTTGGAGGTGCCAAGCTGTTCTTTATTACAGGAGGCAGCCTGTGCTTATGCTGCAGGGAGACCCAGTCCTCTGCTTCTAATTTGGGGTGAGAGAGAGGTGGGACAGCTGATAGACTGGAGCTACACTGACTATTACAGCTTTTATTTTTGTTTCACATTTATTTCTTTATATGCATGCCTGCATACGGCATGGCACACATGTAGAGGGCAGAAGAAAACTGGGATTGTGGGGATTGAAGGCACAGCACTGGGCCATCTCACCAGAACTTTCCTTTTAAATACAGGTTCCAGGGTAGCTAGACACACGGAGGGGGGCTTGGGGGAAAGGACACAACTTTCTCTGCAGCAGGTCACGGCATGGCATGTGGGAATGGGAGTGTGGGTAGGAGAGAATAGGTAGGGGAATATGGTAGGCGTCAAATGCTATCCCTGGAAAAGCAGAATAAGAGGTTGTGAGCATTCCTTTTAGTGGCCTTAGTACTTTGTAAGCATGCAGTCACCTCTAAGGAAACCCCGGTCTGGAGGGTTGCTTCCCACCTCCTTCTCTTTCTGTGTTTTGGAAAGAATGGGCAAGCTCCTTTGTTGGCCCTCATCACACTGGGCTTTTCCATTTTCACTATTGCCAGCCACTTGTGCTGAATTCCCACTTTTGTCCTTGCCCCAGGCAGGGGGAGGGGACTATTGTCCCCTGCCCCTAGGTATCCTCTTTACTTCTGATTGGAACTTTTTCTAATAGTGGCTGTCCGTCATTGAAATCAGCATATAGTCACATTTTTATGCCCAGGTGAAAATGTGACACTCTTATTTGGACCTGCTTTTGACATCTTTTGATGGTTTTTGGAAACTGAAAGCTAGTTTGACCTGCAGAGTGTCTGGGGCTGGGGTCAATGGGTGCAATAAGTAGGGTAGGGTTTCCTTAAAACTTTCTGGTCATATTCCTGAACCTCTTGGCCATGCCTCAGAAATACCAATCTCCAAAAATGTCCACAGAACTGCCATCAGGGTATTTCCTTGTTTTGAACATGTGCCCAGGCAGATCACTTTACATTTGAATTTTGACACGACCTTTAGACTTTTTTGCATGGCGCAAAAGTATGTGCCTTTTTTTCTTTTTATGGCTCTTAAATTAGACCAAGACAAAATGGTGGATCAGTGACTCCCAATCGTGAATTATATAGGGCAGTACACTTTGAATTGTTGCTGAGAGGAAGGGAAGACCGCTGTGCATCTTTCTACCTGCTATCCGCGAGGCGGTGCACTAAACAAGCCACCCATCACCTGTGTGACAGTGGCGGTAGCAGAAATATGAAGGGCATGGGGCATTATAGTACTTGCTACACACATGATAGCTCAGGCAGGTTTGTGGGCTGGGTCCCATGTTTCTAAAGTAGAATGATTGTTTTAGATTAGTCCTTTTGTTTTCTTTGTACTGAGAGTATTACAGACTGTAAACTGTACTTTCCCCAGCCCCGTCTATGATGGAGATACTTGAGTATCTGCTGCTTCTGTTCAGCTAGAGATGAAGTGGAGCCATAAGCAGTGGCTCTTTGTTCCAAGTCACTCATGCCATCACCCCCTGTATTGTCCTCTGTGTATATGTGTACATATGTGTGAGTGTGCTTCTACAGAGTAAAGTCCCAGTGGAGGCGAAGCTCAAGCTTTATTTATTTATATTGAATTAAGTTTCTTAGGGGCTGGAGAGATGGCTCAGTGGTTACAGCTCATAGCTGTGTTCCAGAGGATCCATGTTCAGTTCCCAGCACCCAATAAGATGCTGTTCACAACCTTGTGTTACTGGCTTCTTGGAGTACCTACATAACACACGCACGCAGGCATGCACACACGCACACACGTGCGCTCGCCATTATTAAACATAAAATGAGTTTGGGAAAACTGATGAAATGCTGTCCTTGACTGGACTTCACCCTCCACTATGGCTCCCATCATGTTCAGATGATCTCCATGTCTGTGTTCTTTTGCCTTCATTTCTGTTATACCTGGTCCTTCTTAGATTCACTGTGTTCCTCTCCTCCTCCCTTCCCTCCCATCTTTCCTTACTCCCCGATCCTCCCTTCTTTAGCAGGACACTTACACTAGCCAGGCAAGTGGTCCCAGCCTTCCCTCTGTCTGATAGTTTCTCTCAACCTAGTGGTCATATTCAGTTGGGTGTGGGGGCGTGTGTGCCTCCGGCTTCCCGATCTTCCCCATGATGAAGCTGGTGGCTCATTCCTGCCACAGTTTAGTTACTGGTGCTCACATAGTTAAGGGTGGATCCTGGAGTGGGCCGCCCTGCGCTGCTCCACCCCATCAACTGAGCTTCCCTCTGTTTCCTTTGCAGCAGGCCTTCTCCAGTGACGTCCACTGTGTTGAAGAGATTTTGAAGGTGAGTTCCATAATTACTGTGTGTCATCTGAAGAAATCCCGAACCAAGCAGGCAAACGCCCATCATTTCTCACTTTCAATGAGCAATGCCATCCCAGCATGGGCCATGATTTGCCTTGCTAAGATGAATGAAGTTCACAAACTGGATCAGAGTTAGGAACTTCTCAGGTTTTCTGCTTGCCCGTAGGGACCAAGAATTGGTGTTCACTTCCCAGGAAGACACACCCTATATGAGTGTAGCATGGAGACACCAGGCTTTAGTAGCCCTGAACCCTAATTCTCTCCTTTTATATAGTGAAACCTGGTATGCACGGCTGCTTTATAATGAGACCTTGAAACCTTAAAGAGTGGAACCTAGTGTGGTGGTATGTGCCTTTTCTTTCCCAGCAATACATGGCAGAGGCAGACTAATGATCTCTGTAAATTTCGGGACATACAGGGCTACCTAGTGAGATCCTGTGTGTTACACACACACATGCACGAATGTTTGAGGGCGAGTGAGCGTGCATGTATGCACATTCTCACACACACACACACACACATACACACAGAGACAGAGACAGACATACACAGATAAATGGTTATATTTAGACTTCCATACTGGGTTCTTTTTGTTTGTTTTTCTTATTGTGAGTTCTGTGAACAGCTTACTTATGTAAATGTATCACCATATATACATTACACACTCATTCTAGTTTTCTTGCATTAGAATAATGTATTTATTTAAAAAGCAAGCAAAAACATTCTAGTGGAATCTTCTCTTGAACTCTGAGCTTGCTTTCTTTTGTCAAGTCAGAGAGCTGCATAAATGTCATGTGAATCCATTGTTGTTCAGATTCCTAGGAATTCAGAGCTCAATTTATTGCTGGTATACAGTAATTGTAGGAACTGGGGGGGGGGGTCTGTGTGTTTCTCACTCTCTCTTGCATATAATTTGCTTCCATTGTGTCTTTTATTATAGAGTTTGATCTTTTTTCTTTTTTTTAAGCTTTACATCTAGGGACTTTATTCGCCACTGTTCACTTTTTCCCTCTAAATACATACTTAGCTCCAAATTTACTTTGATCCCACCTCCTCCATTGCAAAAGTACTAAACCATTGCTGCTATTTGCACTCAGCAAATAAGGATATTGCTTATTTTTTTCATTTGTGAGTTTTTATTTTATTTGTACAAGAAGGGTTTGGGCAGATGTTTAAACAGTACTTGCATCATCTCTGCCCTGGACCCAGTGTGCATCTTTTGTAGTTGAGTTTCTAGAGGCATGTTCCAAAATGCTAAAGGCTGATGTTCTTGCCAACTAGCAAGGGCAGTGAATATTTAACTAATTACCTTGATCAGATTTTGATAACACCCTTCACCATCCCTGATATTCCATTTATCAACTCAAAAAGAAAATAATTCCCACTTAGCATTTTCTCTGCAGCAGTATGTGCTCTGTTCTTACCCAAAAGCGAAGGAGAGGACAGACCTCTGTGGGCAGTGTGTCTTGTTGGTTTTTCTTTTTTCTGTTTTGGGGTTTCAAGTCAGGGTTTCTCTGTGTCGCCTTGGCTGCCCTGGAACTTACTTTGTAGACGCAGCTGGCCTCCAACTACAGAGATCCCTCCGTAGTGCTGGGATTAAAGGTACACAGTCTGGATTTTTAGAACAAGACAAACTGGATTTTTAGAACAAGACAAACTGTATGCTCCCTTCAGGGATGATTGTGTTATGGTCCCAGGCACTAATAAAAGTATCCACTCCCCTTCCCTCTCCCCGAGTCCCACTTTAATGTACTCATAGTATTATACTCAAATGCTTGAGAAACAATGCCAGCCAAGACTGTATGTTTCCATCTGGAAGTTGGAAGTGACATCCTAAAGAAGGTGAAAACCCCAAACTCTGTCCTTTGTGTCCCATCTCCCCTGAGGATGGCTTTCTAGGCTCTCAAGAGCTCTGAGCTAGCCAGAGACCCCCCCCATGCTCTCTACCAGTCTTTCCTGTAAAGATTCACTGTCCCCTGCCTGAAGTTTCCATTTTTATTTAATCTCATGTCAACAATTTATTCAGATTGCCAGGAATCCACTGACAGTTCCCGAAGAGTAAAACTCAGCTGTAGATGATATTCGATGCTCAGCGTAGGCTTTCCCTGGTTCTCTGGGGCCATGTTTAGGTTGGAAGTGTTCTTTCTAATGAAGAGGAAGTGATGCACTCCCTAAGATCTGCCACAGTCCCAGAGGCCTGTGGGGGATTATGCATAGGCATCCCCTCAGGGCAGCCTGCTTGTGCTGCTGGCTTCTTACAGAGTGGCATTATTGCTTGCTTATTCGTTTTATTTGCTATCCAAACACATTTTTACATGCTAGGATGCCAGTAAAGAGGACAGAGCCATTGCTTTTGTGGGGCTCAAGGCATGAGAGGTAAAGTTACAATTCAGCAATGGGGCCAGGGGCATCGATGAGTGACAGGGCAGCGGGCAAAGTAGGAAGTGGGGTGGAGAAGAAGTCATGAGGTTAGAGAAGTTTGTGTTCTAGAGAGATAGCTGGAGCAGCACAGTGGGTTTGGCGGAAATGAGTGGGGAGGAGAGAGAGGAGACTGCAGCCTAGAAGGGCTAAGGGGTGGAGTGGAGGCCTGCTCAACTTCCTTCTCTTTGTAATGGCCCCATTCTCCCTAATGCCTGAGGCGGTTAGGGAAGTGTGGAAGTTCTTTCAAACCAGGAACCATTAGAGAGTGGTGAGAGTTTATGTTCCTTGCCTGATGCTTGGGGCACAGCCTTAGGCTGTGGGTACTGTTAGGAATAACTGGTAGTAAACACTCACAGATGTCACCACAACCCCAAAGAATTTTTGTAAGACTTTAGGATGCTGGTGCAAGCTCTTCAGTGACTTCCACACCTAGAGTTTGCTGACTGAGCAAAAAGAGCAAAGAGCTCACAGGGTGTAGGATCAAAATGCTTGGAAAAGTACATTTCAGTTAAACGTGGGTGGCTGCTGATGTTGGGGCACATACTCTAATGTCAACACTTAGGAGGCTGAGTGTCAGAGAGACCCCGCCTCAAGGCTCCCCTGACTGAGAGGTGGTGCAGTTTCTCCTCACTGTTTTCTGACTCCAGTACCCAAGCACTTACTTAAATTACCCTCTGAATGTAAGTGCTCAGAGCTTGCTTTTCAGTGAGAATGGATACCCAGAATTCAGGCCACTATTACTTGCTGACAGAGATTCCAGTTGGGGCAAAGCGGATGACCTGTAACCGATAATAAAGGATGAGTTCATTTTTAATAAGAAGTAGTCCAAGCCCACATCAGAGGCTGGTGAGATGGCTCAGTAGTTAAGATCAGAGTGTCTTTAAAATAAAAGGAAACAAACCTCACACCAGTCATGTTGTCTTAATGCATACGAGTCTCTTATTCTCACTGTGGCTATGACTGTTCACAGGGGCAGTGGGGAGGGCCAGGGAGGAAGTGCATGTCGCACACTCATGTGCCACCTTCGCTTGTTGAGAAGCCAGGAGCCAGGCAGTGCAGGCCTCGATTGACAAGGATGCAGCGCTAGGACGGAGTGTGGTGTGCAAAGGAGCTGGTCCCATTTGTAGCCAGGTGTGAACATGTGGCTTCTGTGCCTTATGTAGGGAGACAGAGGAGTCTGTAACTTTGTTCAGCCTTTGACTCCTCTGGGCTTTGGCTCAGTCATTTAAGTCTCCCCTCTTTTAAAAAAAAAAAAAAATTGTATAAAACAAGTTTCTTCATCTTGAGATGATTGTGTAACACCATTTAGCCCTCTCAAGGTGCATGTGTGTGTGTGTGCGCTCTCGCATGCACATACACATGTGTATTCATGATTATATACTTTTAATTTGTCATACCTATTTAACCTTAGCCTTAAGGTTTTGTTTTGTTTTTTGAGACAGGGTTTCTGTGTGTAGCCCTGTCTGTCCTGGAACTCGCTCTATAGACCAAGCTGGTCTCAAACTGAGAGATCCACCTGCCTCTGCCTCCCCAGTGCTGGGATTAAAGGCAGGTGCCACCATCTCCCTGGCCCCCTCAAGTTTTTAAGCAAAGCCACGTAGATATGATAGTGCTGAGAAGCATATTAGTTTTGTAAGTTTTAGAAATATTGCCTTTAACCAAGAAAATAGGAAATAAAGATTAAAGTTTTGCTACTGAAAAAGTAAGGCCCCCTGCTTCTGTAAAACCTGTAAACAGTGCTTCCAGGAAAGGGTCAAATCTATTAGAACCCTCCCCAGTGGAGCGGAGCGAGGGACCCAATGACTTGTTTGTTTAAGTCAGGCAGGAAAGTTCTTCCTTTGAAGTTCAATAATTCCCGGAAGTGCAGTGAAGGAGCTGGAGGAAGACCGAGCTGAGCTGAGGCCCTTTCCCAGCCCCGCCTGCCGCCTCAGTGCCCAGAGCTGCCCCAGTGTCACTGGCACCAGCTGACAGATGCTCTGCCACACTGTAATATGCGATGCTGGGCTCGCTCAGTTCCCACCCAGGTTCAGATTTCAGCGTAGCCTGGTGCAGGCATCCTTCTAAAAGTGAATGAAATACCCCGCGAGATTGTACTTTCTGTGCATCCCTGACCCACTCTGCATACTAGTTCAAAACCAGCTGGTAATGGATGTTCCACTTATACTTGCTTCCCCCCCCTTTCCAAATCTCTTTCTAGGAAATGACCCACTCGTGGCCCCCTCCTCTGACAGCCATACATACGCCCAGTACAGCCGAGCCATCCAGATTTCCTTTTCCCACAAAGGTAACGAATTCCGTAAATCGAAATAGGCACCGTGTCTACGGTGGGGGAGGAACAGGGTGTAGGACAGGCGTTCATGTTTGTAGGCAATCCTTCCCATGACACTGTTTTCAGAAGTTATGTTTGGAAAACCCCAGATTTACTGTCTCTATTCTACCCAGTTTATAACAGTATTTTTTTTTTTTTAAATAAGTAGAAGATCCACCATTGCCAGTCAAGTCATACATCTCTAATGATGAATTTTTCTTCCCAGGAGCCTCTGCACATCAGTTCTGCAACCCAAAGCCAAAGTAAGTGAATACCTGGATGCACTACACAACAAAGCAGTTTTTAAACATATTAACAGATTTAACGAGGATACATTTGTAACAAGTGCCCACAGAGAATAGGAAGGAAAGCAGTTTTCATGAAACTTTCAACAAATACAAGTTAGTATTATGCCAAATACAAGTTAGTATTATGTGACTCCAGGTCATCTTTTGTGGTTGTTCTGTTTTGGTTTTTGAGACAAGGTTGAGACAGCCTTGGCTGTCCTGGAACTGGCTCTGTAGAACAGGCTGACCTGGACTCAGAGATCTGCCTGTCTCTGCTGACAGCGGGCACACTAAATATAGCTCACATTCTTCTCTCTCTGCGGCTGAGTGATTCTTTCTTGGTCCCCTCGTTAGGGTAAATTCTGGAGAACCTGGGAAACTAACAGGACCCAGAGCAACGTGTCATGTCTTTCCCTGGTTTTTTTATTTGTACACCAACCCTTACAAAGATCACTAGGATATTTCGATTATCTAGCTCACCAGAACAAGTTAAGGGGAAGAGATGCTGACACAGGTGGGATGTCAGGCAGCAGGTGACTGTGTCTGCCACAGAGGACATCCATAGGGTCTGTGCTTTGTATGGGAGCCTTGAGGAGGGGCGCTTATGAGTGTCCACAGAAGTGATTGATTGTGTTAACTCACCCCCCTCTTTTTTCTTGGTGTTTTTTTTTTTTTTTGCTGTTTTCTATCTTAGAGATTCAAGCTCTTAGACCGAGGCTGAGTAGATTAGTCTGAGAGCAGCATCTTTCCTGGAGCTGTTTTTGTCAGTCAAGTTTCACTGGGGCATAGCCTCAGCCTTTTACCCTTCTTACAAGCATATACAGGACACTTGACCTCCTCTGCTGCCTGGTGCTGGTAGACCAGGCTTACTGTTCTCTGTCCAGAGAGATGGGATGCTGTCTTGTAAAGGAGGCATGACCAGTGGCCAATCCACATGATACCTTGATTATATTAAGCTGCAAAAGCAATTAACTGAAATTGATGCCTGAGTGAGGAGGTAACACTTGGGGAGTGAGTCTCAGGACATGTGACCAGTACAGCGGTAGTGAGTCTTGAGTGTAAGCCCAGCTGTGGACCGGGTTTCTGCCTCCTTTTTTTACTTGCTTCTCTCCCTTTCGCTGGCCATGGCTGTGTGGCTGCTAGTTCTAACTGTGTAAAGACAAGAAGCTTTACCTAGTCCTGCTTCAGAGTTGATGGAGGATGAAGCACACCTTGGCCTGTGTGGCTTTGGGGCTGTCAGACTGGCGGTACTCCTGAGTACCGATTCACCAGGTGCTTACCTGAAGTCAGCCCAAGGGCTGCTGCTTTTTCTGTTGCTATTTTGGGGCTTTTATCCTAGTGAGGATGTTGCCTTTTGTGGCCTGAAAGAGCCTCATGACTGTTAGATGAGGAGGGGGCGAGGTATCAATAAAAGTGGCCTTTGTTGAAGAGTGTAATGTTCTGGCTAGTTTTATGTCAACTTGACACAAGCCAGAGTCATTTTGGAAGAGGGAGCCTTCTCCCAGGTTGGCCTGTGAGCAAGCCTGTGCTGCCTTTTCTTGATTGTTAATTGATGTGGGAGGGCCCAGCTCACTGTGGATGGTGTTCCTGAGTGCTAGAAAGAAAGCAAGTTGAGCAAGCCAAGAGGAGAGCAAGCCAGTAAAAGCAACAGTACCCCATGGTCTCTGCTCCAGTTCCTGCCTCCAGGTTCCTGCCTAGAGCTCCTGCCCTGACTTACCCGGGTGATGGATTACAAAGGTGTAAGATGAAATAAATCCTTTCCTCTCCGGGTTGCTTTTGGTTCTGATATTTTATCACAGCCATAGAAACACTAAGACAGCACAATTTTCTCAAAGGACACCAGCAAGTGAATTCTCTTGTTTGTTTGTTTGTTTGTTTTCATGACAGGATTTCTCTGTGTAGCCCTGGCTGTCCTGGAACTCACTCTGTAGACCAGGCTGTAGGTCTTTTATATGAGTGGCCTGTTGTTCATGTCTGAGCTCATACAACATGGTCACCTAAGGATTTCCAACTTGCAGCCTGGTCAGGGTGGCCCCCTTAGGGGAGTCCTTGAGTGCCTCTACATCTATCTGAGCTCTAGCTGGCTAGGCCATAACTCTAAATTATGAGAGCTGCTGCCACCGTGTGGATAGAGTAGGTAACTGCAAGTACGCATGGGCGTAAGAGTTGCTACCTACAAGGTACCTGTGTTAATTTTATAATTTCCTTGAGTCCTCTGACCTGTTGTCAGGACACATCGATCGGGTGCTTCCCATCTGGTACATTGCTTCACTTCCTGTTCCCTGTAGGGTTCACCAGAGCACGTACGACTCAGGCACCCCTGTGCTGTGGCCCTAACTTTTTGTCTTTCACTCTGGCTCTCCCCCCTGCTCCTGGTCACTGCACTCCATACTCCTCCTCACCTTGGATAGGCCTGGGTGGCCTGGCTCCTCCACTTCTCCAAATCAGCTCTCCATCCTCCTGAAGGTCTCCCTTCACTCTGGTGGAAGCAAACCCACAGATTCCTGTAACCCAGCCATCTCATGCTCTCTGCAGTTGGCCTCCTCCGGTCATTACTAATAGAGTGGCTGTTGGGGAATGTGGCAGTACATTTACATAATTGCCATGTGTACTTGCTGCACACTGCCCTAGGTTGTGGATGTTTGTGGACCTGTCCCATGTCCCTCGGGCAACTGTAAGCCCATTTGAAGACTGGGCCTGATGTTTTTACACATTGGGTCCTGCCAGGCAGTCTATAAATAGGTGTGGAGTGAATGAATTGGGCTATGGGACATTGACTCCAGGAGGGACAGGAGGGTCAGGTGGGACAGAGCTGTGCTGTCACAGATGGACTTGGGAGTCAAGCCAGGTAGGGTATGAATGAGGACAGCGTTGTCACACAGCCCCCATAGGAACCCAGGCAATTGTCATCAAGAACAGAAACCGTCTCCCACACTTTGAAAGTTGCCAGTGGGTCGGGGCCCCGCATTCAAAGTAGCTCTGGCTTATCGAGAATTAGTTGTGGACGTTTTGTTTCTGAACAGGTTTTACCTCTCACAGGGCCTTAAATGCTGTCTTAGGAGACAGCATCAAGTGCAGAATTCATACTGTGCCTGGGGAAAGGGAGGGGCAGTGAAGAGGGATCTTAGCGATTTTATAAATGTGTGTCCATGCCACTCTGACTCTGCCTTCCTCCCCACAGAACCTTATGATGCGTCTTCCCAAACCCATCCCAGTTCCCAGCAAGGAACATCGTAAGTAGAAAGAAGGACAAACCAACCTTCATCTATTAAAAGTTGATAATATGGCATCGACATTTCCCATCATGTAGATTCTCCCCTGCCCTGCTCTCAGTTAATGGCGTTCATAAAATACGGCTGCATTGTACAGGGAGGAAATGACCCTCCGTTGCGTCTGGATCAAGGTTTATGCACTATTGGAGAATGTGCCGCAGGGTTCTCTGGAAAGAAAGGTTTTGAGCCATTATTTATGCATTGACCATGGAACTCACAAGGCACTGGCTTTTAAAATTTCAAACTTAAGTAGTTTTAGCTTTGGGAATTAAATTTGGGGGTTGTGTGGGATGAGATTTTCTGCCATTTTCTGGCCTATTTAATGGCAGGAGCTTGTTCTGCTACCCAGATGTTCTTATTCAGGCCAGGCACATCTAAATGTATTCTGGGTTTTTGGAACACTTTAATCTTCACATTATAGATGTTTATTTCAGCATTTTGACCCAATCTATTACTTCAAAGTATTGAATTACTATTCTTTACTGCACCCGCCCCCAAGTCATTGCTAGGAACTGAATGAGGTGGCCTGCTTAGACTCCTCCCTAGGAGTCATTGACTTGAGTCCTGCTACTTCAAGCCTAGTTCCTGAGGAGGCTAGAGAGCCTTAGAAATCCTGGAATTGAAGTTACAGATGGTTGTGAACCACATGGGTGCTGGGAATTGAACTCTAGTCCTCTGGAAAAGCAGTCAGCCTGATCTTTGTGTTTTGGAGGGTGAGCATTGCTAAGTAATCTCAGTTGAGTAGGAGAGATTTATTGCATGTCAGTGTGACCGAATGAGACAGGGTTAATTTTTTGTTTGCAGCTCCTTGATGGGGTGATTTTCATTTCAACATAGAAAAATTGAGCAGTAACATAAGGGTTTTGATAGATAAATTCTCCCTGTCCAGAGGATGGGGCCTTTTGCTTGACCAGGATCTGTTTTACTGTGCTCTTGTGGATGAGGAGATTTTGCTTAGTGTCCTCTACTTGAAAAAGACAAAACCCGTCAAACCTGTGTCACTCACGTTTCCCTCTTTGTTTTCTCTTTTTGTTCTGGGGAATGTTACTGGCAGTTTTGAATCACTGGCTTAGACCATGGCCAGAAAGGAGGTGCCAGGCCGAGGCCCAGTGCTATGAGAGTCTGTGAGACTAGCCCTGGGCCATCCGGCTTGGCACTTGTGATGGTTGGATGTTGGTGATCGAACCCTGGTCACCAAAAAAGGTCCTGGTCATTGTCTTTGGGGCATCTAGAGGGGAGAACTGTGTCTGGCCTGTGAGTGAGACATGAAAGGTGACTGGGTGCTGCACCCTGGAATCTGCCTGAGAGCGAGTGGGCAGGAAGGAGTCACTTGCTCTCCCATCCGTCCATCAGTCACATGCTGGCCAGTGTCCTAGTAACTGCATAGTAACCATTGAAATCAGAGAAGCCCAAAAGCCCATTGCAAATGTACTGCTACCCTGTGATGGAATTCTCTAAGTAAAAGCTGCTAATTGATATCTGAAAGGAGCACTTGAGCTCTTAAGAGACAGGGTAAAAGCAGGGATGGGGTGGGGAGGTGAGGATGGGTGGGAGGTGGAGCAGGTGTGGTACTGAGGTTGGACAGATAGGTGATAAAGGTTGTGGGGTTGCAGTTGGCAAGTGCCAAAATGAATTGTACCCCATGGGCAGAGCGATCCCTTTCATGCACTTGCCTTTAGCAGAGGGTTAATTTTTGCCATAATGTTCTCACATTTAGTGTGGCAGGTTTCTCAGTGGATATGGTTAATTTGATCCCGTGACAACACCCAGGCTCGATAGTGTGGTTAGGTTGCTTGAGTGGCAGGTAAGAGTGTTAGGGCAGTGGTCTGTTGTCCCCTGCGCATCAGAATTGTTAATTACAGGGTTGTTTATGCTCTGGCTTGAAAATTAGTCTACACCTTGCTAGATCTAGAAGGAGCTAACATGTTTAAAGCAGAGTGCACATAAAAGGAAGAATGAGACCATCAGTAGTAACCCTCACGTGTGTCCAGCCATGGGGAGAGAGAGAGAGAGAGAGAGAGAGAGAGAGAGAGAGGGAGAGAGAGAGAGAGAGAGAGTGTCAGTCTGTGTACATGCGTCTTAAGCTCAGTTACTTCCCAGTGAACCTTTCCCAGAGCCCTGCTGGTGACTGATGGCTGAGGTGTTTGTAGTGTTGTTTGCTTCCACATTCATGTAGAGCGTGTTTCTTCAATGGTGTTTGGCTTTTCACAGTTCACTTCCTTTCCAGTTTCTGGACAACACTTAGAGCTTCTTCTTCCTAAGGTTATCGTGTTCTTTGTGCAGCTCCTTTCTGGGATCCAGGGCAGTTGGCAGCTCCTCGTGGGGAGGAGAGGGAAGGCTTGCCTTCAATAGCTCATTCCTGCCTTGGCAGCTATAGAATTCCTCACTGTGGTTGGCAGCTAGTGTTTTCCTCTCTCCTCTTCCCCAACTGATGAGCCAAAAGGTACTTTCCTTCATTTATTTATTTCCTTTGAAATCTCCCCTACTGTGAATAAAGGAATAAAAGACAGAAATCACTGTCCAATTTAAAGTTTGACTTACCTGGACAATTATGTTTGGAAGAGGGATCATAGGACATCAGGGTTACCTGGAGGTGGATGAGAAGGGGTGTTAGGAGCAGCCAGGGGAAGGCTGACAATGTTGTGATAAATCTATTCAAACCCTCTCAATAGTGCTAGTTTTCGTATACCTTGGTACTGATGATAGGGCCAATCCTCAGTTTTCTGTGCTACTATTCTAAGCACCATAGCAGGACTTGATGTCAGCTGAAGGGCCCTAGGTCTTCTGTCCTTGTTGATGGCGTTTTGATTTTCTGTAGTACAGGGAACTGAATCCTGGGCCTTGCTCAGATTCCTGGGAACTTATATCCCCAATTTCCAGATGTCCTTTAGAATGAGGCCTGATGACACAGTTTTCTTGTCCCAGTTAACTTAAATCATATCAACTTAGGAAAATTAATTTTTCTCTTGCCATTTTTTAATAAGTTAGCTTAATACTATTGGATGACGTTTGACTTGGATTCCCACCGGCAGCTCAAACTGAAAGTGTCGTTGATGGATGAGTATCACCAAAAATAAGTTATAAAACAATGTTAGGCGGGGATCTCACGTTATCGGTTGTTGAGGTGTCGTTACCCCTCTACTTCAGGGGCACAGGGGGAGCACACGCCCGTGCCCTTGCTACGTTGCCAATGGACTTTTGTCATTGAGATAGCTGCTGAGCTGGCTACACCTGACTTCTTGGAAAAGGGACACTTGGGGTCACATGGTTGAGAACCTAGCCTTATGGATATACATAATGACTTTGTTAATTTGCGTATAGAAGGAAGTATTTCTGTGTTTCTGGAGGAAAAGCAGAGGTTTGCAGTGAAGGACAGTAAGGATCTTAGCAGGGCCTCCTCCCCCTTCTCCCTCTACAATCCCTTCCTCCCCCTTTACGCCTCTCCGCCCTTCCTCTCCATTTCTTTGTCCAGCTTTTTTTTTTTAATAATGGCTTAAGGTCTGAATTTTTGTTTGTGATGTCTATTATCCATCTCCGCAGCCTCCCACAGTCTCCCCTAAGGCAACTGTGGCCCACATTTCAAAAAGGAACCAGAAGTCAGTTGGTGGCTCAGTAACACTGATGCTTGGAAGGCTGAGGGAGGAGAATTAGGAGTTGAAGACAATTCAGTCTGCATCACAAGACCCACTCTCCAAAAGTAAAAATGCCAGGCAGCAGATCTCAGTGAGTTCTGTGCCAGCCTGGTCTGCACAGTGAGTTAGTTCTGTGCCAGCCGGGGCTACGCAATGAGAAACTGTCCAAAAAAAAAAAAAAAAAAAAATCAAACAGACAAAGGAACAAAAGTCTGAGAAAGCTATAAACTCGTGCAACTCCAGTTGTGTGCCTTTGATGGAGTTCAGCCTCCTCCTTCCCCTTCCCCATCTGTCCTCAAGTTATTTGGGTGACGTGTTCCTTGGCAGCCATGGTTATTAACGTTTTAACATACCCACTGCCGCCATCAGGATTTACCAGTTACAGATAACTGCTGTTAGCTTGACTTCACCCCTACTCCCTCAAGTGAAATGGTCCTAAAAATTAATCCAGATATGAAACTATTTAAATAGTTTGGGGGTTCTTTGGTGTTGAGTATTGGCAAAGAAAGCCTTGGGTAAGCCCATAGTCAAGAAAGCAAGATTTGTCTGAGTTTCACGCAGCAGCTTCAGGGTGACTCATGGAAACATGCCCGCCAGAGCCTGACTAGCTCCATGTACTCTGCTGGAGGAATAGAATCAGAAGGAATCTGCACAGAGAGGCTCTAGGGCTGTCTGACACTGACATACCATAAATGTGCTTACACTATGTGGTCCAGAGTTAATTTTCTGGGACACTTGGGCTCCTGATGAACAGCATGGGTGTAGTGTAGCATATGGTGTTGAGTGCTTTGCCTGGGAGCTTGGAAATGACATCAGTTATTTGATCAGTGGGTCAGGTTTAATTGTACAGGGGGAAACTAGCATCCCTTTAAGATAGTCACGGTTTTATGCTAAATTGAGGTCTTTTTCATTTCTCATAGAGCTCAGTTCCTCTAACTATTATGTCACATAGATTGGCCAGAGCAGGAGAACCTCATACCATGGGACGGACTCGGCATCCCATATTGTAAAGTGGCCATTTCCTGCTCACACTAACACATACGTTGTCCACAGGCACGCAGCTCTGTGACATTGCTACTTACTCACTAAAGGGGCTGCTTATTCATTCACCCTGCTCAGTTTTTCATTCTCCCCCTGCTGTACTTCTCCAGCTTCTTTTTCCTCCCCTCTCCCCATCTTCCCAAAACTCTGGCTTCTCCTGTGGATTGAGCCCAGGGAGAGCGTCATGAACGCTAAGCAAAAGTTCTCTTACCCTCCAACTAGCAGCACTTCAGGGTGTGCCACATTCTAGGTTCAGAACACGAAGGTGGAGATGTCTTCAACTTCGCCTCCGAAGAATTAACGATGGATAAGGAGGGGCATGTCCCTGGGTGGGGGTACTGCTCTTTTGACCTAGGTTTTGTGGACAGGAGCAGGACGGGATGTTGACGGTTTCAGTTCTCATTTAGAGGGTACAGAGTTCTCACCCAGGTGTGATCACTTTCATCCTCCGTGTTCAGGGACCAGTCCTCTCCAAGATAGCACACAAACTGAACTTGGTGTGGAACAACCAGGAGACACACGCAGCTGGCTCCTCTCTCGTGCCCAAGCTCCATTTCCCACCACCGTTGAGATTCTTTCTGCTTGTGAAAAACCATAACGGCACTCAGGAATTTCCCCGTTTAAGCGAGTTTTGATTGTGTTTTTTCAGTTAACCATAGGTGTCATACATGTTTCTTATTAAAAACTTGAACCGACTTCTCACTGCCTACCTTGTGGTAGCTGATGGCATGCTGAGTCACGCACATCTGGGTTGGTAAACTGTTTTCTGGAAGGTTTTGTGGTTACTCTTGACTGGATCAGCAGACACTGACAGTGCATTTTCTGTCTGCTGATTCTCATATGAGATAGGTCTGTTTTTGAGAAGTTTCATGTAGTCCAGGTTGGCCTGGAATTTGAACTTGCTCTTCCCCTGTCGTTGAGCTTCAATTCGTGAATGTCCATGGTACCTGCTATTTCCAGATGACCTTAGAGTGTCCTGTGTGTGTCTTTACTGACTCCATTAGAATATGTCCGTAGAAGTTAGGTGTTACTCAGTAGCAAGGGGGTGGGAATGTGGTGGGGTTACAGGCTCATTTGTGGAACAGAAAATTAAGAAAGATTAGTTTTATACAAAAGAAACCCAGTAGCTGAGGGTCAAGGTTTGTTGCTGTAGTTTTGTTGTTCATGGTTAATAGTGAATACACTTAGCCAGGCTTCCCCCCTCCTGTTGTGTTATACCATGTGAATTTTTTCCTCCAAACACAATACCTTTTGCTGTGTCCCTTAGCCAAGCCAGCCTAGCAGCAAACCTGTTGAGTAACTTTTTTGCATACCATTCTCATGGCCAGCTGCCAAGCCCCATGACTGAAGGCTGTGTTTTTCTAGCCATGGTAAAATAATTTAGTTTCTACTCGATAAAACACCCAGTGAGAGATCTTCAGTTTATACGTACCTAAATTTTTTTCTTTTCTCTGTTCCCTCCTCTTGCCCTTTTGTTTTTTGTTTTGTTTTGTTGTTTTAGACAAATACTCTTTGTGTAACCCTAACTGTTCTGAAACTGTAGACCAGGCTAGCCTTGATTGAACTCAGAGATCAGTCTGCCTCTGCCTCTTGAGTGCTTGGATTAGAGGAGGGAGCCAGCTCACCAGCTTTAGTTTTCATGTTTTAAACAACTTACATAAACTGACTTTTTTTTCTATGTCACTTCCAACTTTAAAAAAAAAAATAGCTCTGCTTCTAAAGTTGGAGAGAAATGTGAGAGAAGGATTAGTGGTCGATGCCGTTGATATTTGGGGATGTCCAGGAAAATGTAAGAATGGAAGGACAGGGGCCCAAACAGAGAAAACGTTCAGGGACACGTTTGTTTTAGTATTAAAATCTGTCCTAAGCGAGAATGCCTAGCAGTGTAAATTTTAGGCAGTGAGCTGAATTAGTAACTGTATGTTAAAAATACTTCCTTACTAACAAGAGTGTCATTTGTATTATTAATTAAATTAACGGAACATTGATCATCATTTGTATTGAAATAGACAAAAGAGAATGAATTTTTATTTATTTACTTTTTTGCCCATGAAAGTGTTCAGTATTAATAACATCCACTGGACAGAAAAAGGAAAGAACTACTGTCAGCTGTCTTGAAGTTTTGTGTGCTTAGCACTTGTTTAACTACTTTATATCCATTCAGCATCAGCACTTGGATGGGTAACCATTGATTATTACTTCCCTTAGAGACCACGGAAGAAAGTTTTCAAGTGTATTTGCAGTGAATATGTGTTCTCTGTCATTGTCTGTGTGCTCGCTCTCACGGAGGGAGTTGAGGGCACAGCACAGTCTTAGGGCAGATTAGAAATGGCCTCCAGAATGGTTGTGAGAGGGTAAGTGCTTGGCTCATCTGCCTTCAGTGCTAAAACAGTAACACTTGAGTTTGTAGAAAATGGAACTAGCAAGCAAACAAAGGAAGCCCCTACCCCATTTCAACATCTTTAGGCACATGTTCTACTTAAATGCCCAAAAAGTTATCAGGAGCTCTCTCAAATTCCCCACTGTCTGTCCTTTTTTCCCCCAGCATGCTTGAGGATGACCTTCAGCTCAGCGACAGCGAAGACAGCGACACTGAACAAGTGAGTGTTGAACCCTGAGACCAAGAATCTCTTAAGTCCACCGAATGTATCCTCGCTGCTTGTCCTAACCTGTTTCTGTTCTTTCCCAAATGTCCAGGCCACAGAGAAACCTCCGTCCCCACCTGCACCTCCAAGGTACATTTTGCCCTTTTCTCTATCACACACACCTAAATCTCCCCCGCTACCTGCACCTAAAAGCAAATTCAGCCTCTTTAGCTTCATGAAAGGGATGATATAGGGTCACAGTTGAAGAACAGTTCCCCTTTGATTATATTTTAAAAACCCGGTCAGGTGGTGGGAGGTCATTGACTCTAAAAGTAGAATAAGCCCTGTTCTGGATGTTAAAATTCCTTGAGCCTAAGGGGTTAGGCTCGGGAAAGTACTTGCTTTCTAAGCACAAGGTGATGGACCCAGCACCTGCATAACAGTCAGGTGTGGAAACAGCCAGACTCCCTGGAGTTGCCAGCCGGTCTGGCCCACGACAGACCCTGCCTCAAACCTGGAAACTGACCGAAGAGGGCACTTAATGTGGACCTCTGGTCTCCACATGCATTAATTTGTACACACGTGCATGTTCGCCCTCATGCTTGCGCGCGCGCGCACACACACACACACACACACACACACACACACACACACACACACACACACCACTGCCCCCATTGAGCCAGGAATGGTGATCCTTGTGGGAGGTTGTAGCAAGAGGATAGAAAGTTTGAGGCCACATAAGGGATAGTAAGACATTTAAAGATGTTTTTTAAAGTAAGCTTTAAATACAGTTTATCCTTGGCATCGTGTGACCAGTGTTTAGACGAAGGAGCCCACCATGTATGTGTGAAACTGGCAGATAATCGTGTTTTCAAAACCGGTAATAGTGAATTCTCCCAGAACTTGTCCCAGGGCTCCCCTTTTCTCAGTTTTAGCCACTATAAAGACATTTAATGTGAGGGCAACTGGGTTACTTTCACCTTCAGATGAGTTGGCCCTATTTTAGAAAAGTAATGCCCTGTGTTTGGGAAATGGAAACTTAATTTTTGAACTGTTTTCACAGTATTTTCCTCCTGGTACTAAACACAGTGATTTAAGGTGAATAATACCCATCCCCCACAGACAAAAGACTTGCAAGGTGCCCAGCCATTTTGAGAGAAGATCACCAAAAAGAGCCTGAGTGTCAGTAGTGTTGATGCGGTTATTAATAGTAAAGGAAGCATTAATTATGCAGTTCACAGCTTCGTACGCCCAGACTGTTTGTTTATATCCACTCTCGTTAAAATTTTGAGTTGCTCATGTTGACTCATAGACTATGACAAACTGGTCTATTGTAAAAGCCAAGGAAAAGGTAACAGTGACCCCAGAGGGCAGGGAACACTAGAAGCAAGAGCTCCCTTCCAAGGGTGTCCTTCTGTTGTGACTGGCTCACACCCTGCAGCTGACTCACCGCTGATGGTGTCCTCTGAGTATGGAGGTCCTGGGACAGTGTCTGCTCTAAGATGAACCCAGCCAGTGATTATGCTATTTGGTGGTCATTATTTAATAAGGGTTTGTTTTGAGAATATTGTAGGTAGGCCTGGGAACATTGAGCGTTATGGTTAAAGATGCCTGCTTTAGCCAATACCGTTTAGGGTAGCTAAGACAGCATATATGCCTAGCCCCAATCCACATGTTTTCTCATTGACCTACAGTTAGTTAATGGCTGACCTGTAAAAGTTGGAGTTGTTCATGCCCAGCTAGTCATAAAGAACAGCCCATTATCTAACACCACCAGGAAGTGACTGGGCCACTTCTGAACTCACTCTGGTGTCTGGCTGCTGTGTAGTTAGGTCCTATGTAGAGAATACAGGGAGGTTTTACACACTATTCTCTTTTACACTTTTTCTTTTGAGTTATACATAGTAGGAGCCAATAATCTTCATGAGCCACATAGTAAGTAAACTATTTTAGCCTTTGTGGGACATGTAACTCTCTGTTGTAACTGCTTAACTCTACTATGACAGCACAGAAGCCAACACAGATGGGGTGTTCTAATAAAACTTTATGTAGGAAACATAGCCCGCCATCCAGGCCCTGGTTAGCATATTGTTTATATCATCCACTAGATGATAGGCCAGCCATCTTGATGCTGTTCCTCTTATGTGGTTATCTGGTGACCTGCAATTCTAACCCTGCTGGCCCCTGGCCACAGGATGATTAGCCAGCAGTGATGCTTTTACTTCCCAGGAGGAGCAGGTGGATAGTCAAAGGGGACGGGGCACAAAATCTTGTGTGCATGATCCTCTAATGGTACCTCTGGTTGCTTTCCAGCGCTCCACCAACACTTCCAGAACCAGAGGTGTCAGCACATTCCAGTAGTGCAGAGTCCGAGAGCAGCGCGTCAGACAGCTCCTCAGACTCTGAGAGCGAGAGCAGCTCAAGTGACAGCGAGGAGAACGAGCCCCTAGAAACCCCGGCTCCTGAGGTATGGTGGCCCTTTCAAAGGCAACCCAAGATGGCAGTATGCTGGCTTGTGGGTGGGAGTCGGAGCCCCACAGGGACCCTGGCACTGAATGGCCTGACAGTGGGTGATGCTTTCCCACCGTGTAGAGCCATGTGCTTCTGTTTGCTGCTCAGCAAGTGCTTGGCTGTGGAGACAGGTTCCTCTGCAGCTACTGAGTGTGGCTTCCCAAGAGTGTTTGCACTCCCTCTTTTCTCTTGAGAAGGGAAACTCATTTTTAAGTAGGTTACTGTATCCATGCCAGTGAAAGTTCTTTCAGAATTCAGGAACCTGTGAGTTAAAGAAAATGGAAGAAACGTGGGCTAGAAGCAGGTCATCAGTTCTGGTTTGCAATCACTAAACGCCAAGCAGTGAATTGGTGGCAAAGTGATTGGCCAGGTAATGTAGGACACCTAGTGTGTTGGTGCCTACTTTGGGAGTACCACAAAGATGAACAAATAAGACCGGAAGCTGTGAGAACTACTTTTTTTTTAATCAGAGTTCACACTATGTGCCAATTGGTTACACACCAGAAACTGTCTATAATAGCTAACAAGGTTGCCACATGCCTCCAGACCCTGGCTAGCAATATAAAAACTGAGCACATGAGAAGGGAAGGTGTTGTTATTTTCTTTTTACTTGCTGAGACCAACCCTTATAGAGAACACTGTCTCTGAATTTAAGATTAGGATGCCAGGAAATGAGGCCTTTTGATAAGATAGCACCAAAGTTTTCTGTGTCCATCTCTGAGAGATGGTAGTTCTTCTAGAACAGCGACTGAACACTGCTGCAGAGCAGGCTGTGGCCTCAGGTGCCTGAATGAGGGCAGCAGAGGGAGTAAGTCCAGTACTGGTATGCGGGGGTCTCTGTGCCCAGAACAGCACAAATGCCTAGTGGTGTCCTCTGTTTTTGCCTTTTGAGGTTTTTATAATGCATGGGCATGGATCAGCATTAACTGCATTTGAAGTGTCTTCTGGAGTTTAGACAGTGCGTGGGTCTCTCTGTTCCTTGCGTGGCACTGACTATCTGAAATGATTCCTCTGGATCTTAGGAGGGAGGGTGTTGAACATGTTGACGGTCACCAAAGAGCATTGTATGAGGTGCTTTTGTTGTTTTTCGGTACCGAGACATGAACGAAGAGCATACCTAGTGTGTACTCTGCTACTGAACTGAATTCTTAGCTCTGCACTCCATCTTCAGTAAGGAAGATGCTTGTTACATTATTAACACAAAGTGTTCAATAAGACAATGAAGTTCACATTTGGCTATATAATTACATAAAAAAGAAATTTGCTGCCAGCAGTGGCGGTGCACACCTTTAATCCCAGCTCTTGGGAGCCAGAGACAGGTGGATGGATGGATCTCTATGAGTTCATGGCCGGCATTACAGCCAGGGCTACACTGAGAAATGCTGTTGGAAAACAAAACAACAACACAACAACAAAGAAACCCCTGTTGGGATTGTAGCAGTCTTAGGGTCCTTGGTTCAATCCCCAGTGACTCCAAAAAGAAAAAGAAAAAAAGAAAAATGATTTAATCTTATTTGTTATAAATAAATTTATGTTTCATTGATGGAAAAGTGACTGTAGTAAAGCTCAATGTGGTAGCATGTGCCTGCAAACCTGGCACTGAGAACCTGAATGGGGCTGGAGAGCAGCCTGGGCCACATAGTCTACCCTAGCTCCCCAAAGCCCAAACCGACAGAAGTCCAACAAAGAAGGTTGGAACTTCCTAGGTGCAGAATGAGTGTTTAAGTCACCCTGGTGAAGAAGCCGATTCTCCGCCTGTGAGGTCTGCACTCTGCTGGTGCTCTTCTCTTGGGAATAGTTTGTCTTGGTTTACTTTCATTTTCCCTTAGTTATTTAACTATTTGTCCCCTTTCAAATGGATATCTCCTCAGTTTCCCCCTTCAGTTGACGGCGGCATGGATTATATAATCAACTATATATATTAGCTTTAACTTTCTCACGCAACCTCTATTTGTAATTACTGATTAATTTTTGAGATAAGGTCTCAATATATAGCTCTAGGTAGCCAGGAACTCATTCTGTAGACTAGGCTAGAAGGGAGCTGCCTGCCTCTGCCTACTGAGTGCTGGGATTAAAGGTCTATACCACCATGCCCGCTTATTTATTTGGTGTGTGTTTGTGAGGGCGCTTGGTGTGAGGCACACTTGAGAAGGATGAGCAGAGGACACCTTTGAGGAGCTGATGTCTCTGCCCACCTCTACATGGACCTCAGCTTATCAGGTTTATGTAATTTAAGTACATATATGTTATGTATACCTCAAAACTTTTATGTTTTGAACCATAATTCATTACACACACACACACACACACACACACACACACACCCCTTACTTCCAGCAGTTATGAGAACCAAGGCACACTGGGCTGTTGCCCATGTCTTCTCTTCCTTCCACTCTCTAGTGTCTAGGTTTTACCTCTATTGAGAGAAACAGAGGACACAAGGAAAAGGAAGAGAGAAATGAAAAGCCAAACTTGGATCCCATCTGGCACTTCTGTTTGAAAGTTACATTCTGATTTAACCAAATCTCTTATTCAAACATCTCAACACAGATAATTCCTAGCCTTAATAGCCATCTCATTTGCAACTTCATTTGGGTATGAGGCATACCACTCGGGTTTATACTGTGTAGAAGCAGACCATAGGGATCCCCTTCTGGACCTTTAAGACCACAGTGGAAATAAATGCATGCTATTTTTGTAACTAGGACATTCCTTTAGGGAACTAAATGCATCCCAGTATTGCTCTGCGTTAGGGGTGATGTTGTGGGAGTGACCCCTCCTTTGGGTCCACACATGAAATACATTCTGAGGGTCCTGCCAGAGGTGTTGACATGTCTATCCCAGCCGTTCCGAAGGAATGATAGAAGAGTTTAAACCTGATAAAGCTCTCTGCCTTACAGTGTTATCAGATCACTTAACCACTATGTTCTAAGTAGGAAGTCATGTGGCAAGAACTACTCTGTGCTCTTTTTATTCCCACTCTTGACCCCTTGCCCTGTTAGAATATCGAACACACATTTTACTTCCATGTGATAAAATGCCCCGCTCATTATAGTAATCTGCTTCCTTCCCCTCTCACTGAAATTCAAATGAACACCTGGATGAGATGCTGTAAGCTGGAGGCAGGACCAGAGATCTGTCATCATAGGAGCAGTATGGGGTAAACAAAGAGCCCAGCCCATCTGTCTGCCTACAGGAACCCTCCTGATGTCTCTGACTCTTTGTGGTATTACTCTGTCGTGAGCACAGGAAGCCTAGATCATCTTACTTCTGGCCTTGCCTCACCTAAATGCATCCACACCATATGTTTTGTATTAGGCCTGCATGTTTTGCAGATTTGGATTATTTGGTATATTTTTCTTTGGAAAATTGTCTTCCCTTTGAAAAACTTCCATCTCGAGGCTGAGGATAAAGGTCAGTGATAAAGTGCTGGTCTGCCAGGCACTAGGCTTTCAGTTTGTTCCCCCAGTGAGTTAAAGCACAACTAAGAAAATTATATTAGGTTCAACCTACTGAATGGCTCTTATTCATGATCTGATCAGTTAGACCTTATGTGTAATACTTTTAGTTGGCACTCTGATGGTCTGTATATGATTTAACTATTCGTAGACGCCACCAGTAGAAGTGATCTTGGGGAAAGAGGGAAACATAGAGCAAGCCAGTGATGTTTGGTATCATCTTTCTATCAACACTGGCATTTTTCCCATATAATCTATAACTCATGTAAGGATGCTCACAAAGTGATTGGGGGATGGTTCGGTGGTTGGGGGATACACTGCTCTTTAGGAGGACCTGACTTAGGTTCTTAGCAACCAACTGCTCACAACAGCCTATAACTCTAGCTCTGAGGGGGATCTGACACCATCTTCCTCTGGTCATCTGTAACCCCCTCAATATAATTAATATAAACTGTATAAATTTATAAAACTGAGAACAAAAGACATTGCAAAATAAAATATTAATATAAAAGTTGGGCAGTGGTGGTACATACCTTTAATTCCAGCAGAGGCAGGAGGATCTTTGTGAATTTGAGTCCAGCCTGGTCTACAGAGCCAAGTCCCAGGTCAGCCAGGACTACACAGAGAAGCCCTGTCTTGGAAAAACAAAACAATAGGGTGTGTGTGCGCGCGTGAGCGCGTGTAGGTGTAGAATGGCCACATATCCCACGGCATGGCATGCATCAACACTTAATTTAGAAGCAGCAGTTTCACTCATAGGATGATTTAGGATTGATATGCCCATCAGTTATTTGGCATATAATCGATATTCCTACCTGTCTGCTGTGGATCTTGTCTTTGTGCTTCGGAACAGGTGCAGCTTTAGACTTGGTTGCCTGTAGTAAAAGGTGCTGTGTCTGCCTTAAAGAGTGGAGGGGGAACAGTCCTAGCTAATGTGGTGCCACTCTCTCTGTGCAAAGTTTGGAAATCAGATCTGTCCGTGTTAGATGGTAATCCCATCACATATAAATTACTGTTTTTAAGTAAATAAAAGAAAGCAAGTGTTAGACAAGAGTTTATCACTTGGAAAAAAAGGGTGTTTTTTATTTTTTGTTTCCTGCATTACAAGTCAAAAGTGTGTTCATTCTGTTCCAATTCTATTATAATTAACCATCAGGACAAATGACATACCACAAAGGCGTCTTAGCAGTTGCCAGTGGCTTATTAGTTAGTATCTACTAGGCAAAGTTCTCAAATTGCAAAATTGTTCAAGCTTATTTTAAGAATGGTGACAGGCTCTGGTTTGTAATTTGAAGGGGATAAGTAGAAGATAAATTCCTAGGCTCAGGATGAACAGTTTTCCGGAAAGCCCTGTATAATTGGATTGCTAACACAAAAGTTTACCAACACCAGTTAGTTAACACTTTTATCTCTCTCCGTTTTCTAGCCTGAGCCTCCGACAACGAACAAATGGCAGCTGGACAACTGGTTGACCAAAGTCAACCAGCCATCAATGCCCCTCGAGGGTCGGGGGAGCACAGAGTCCCCACGCTGGCGCCAGGAGAGTAAGGATGGAGACTGCCGGGCTGACCAGCAGCACCCCGAGTCCAAAGACCCTCCCCCCAAGAGTTCCAGCAAAGCTCCACGAGGTCCTGCTGAGGGGCCTCAGCCTGGGAAGAGGGGCTTCCAGAAATCCCCTGCCCAACAGGAGCCCCTACCTCGGCAAACCATTGGAACCAAACAACCCAGAAAACCTGCCAAGGGCTCTGCCCAGGCAGAGCACCAGGCTAGCTTTCAGGCTGAGAGTGAACCAGGACCTCTTCCCTATGGCTCGAAAGAACAAACTCCCAAAGACAAGCCCAAGGTGAAGACGAAAGGCAGGCCACGAGCTGTGGGCAATAGGGAGCCTAAGCCTGAAGCTCCTGTGCCCAAGCCACAGGCAGCTGTGCCCACCCCCACTGAGAAGAGGAAACACAAGAGTTCCCCAGCCCCCTCCAAGACACTCTCAGGCCCTCAGCCTCCAAAGGACAATGCTGGGGACAGGAACCCTGACCACTTTGCCCTTGTCTCCTTGACTCAGAGCCAGGGTCCACCTCACAGCGGCAGGGGTGATGGTGGCAGCGGCAGCGGCAGCAGCAGCAGCAGTGTCAGGACTAGCGGCTGCCGACAGGCTGTGATTGTCCAGGAGGACGGCCGCAAAGACAGACTCCTGTTACCCTTGAGAGACACCAAGTTGCTCTCGCCACTCAGGGACACTCCACCACCGACGAGCTTGGTGGTGAAGATAACCCTGGACCTCCTGACTCGGATCCCCCAGCCCTCCGGGAAGGGGGGCCGCGCTAGGAAGGCCGAAGACAGGCAGAAGCCGGGCACCGAGAAGAGAGGCTGCGACACCTCCAGCAAAGTGACCAAGAAGAGAAAGGTGAGCACAGGGGCATGCGTGCCCAGCGGCGCACACCGTGGCCAGGAATCTGTGAGCTGTCATAGAAGAGGCTGAAGCCTTTGCCCTCACTGCCTGTCTGGGGCTCTGGGGCTTGCACCCTCTTCCTTCCCATTCTGCAGGCAGTCACTTGTGTCAGGGGCCCTGAGTCACTGAAGAAGGAAGTTTTCTCCACACCAGGCAGCACGCTATGGGCAGTTTCCTATGTATGCAGATACCACCGTTTACTCTCTGGCTTATGATGTTTTGATGTTTTTGTGTGGAAAATGAGAATTAGAACGGTAGTGTTCTGAATGAATGCTTTGCTGCTAGGACTATTTAAGCATATGCATAAGAGATCTTGAGTAAAGTGAGCTGCAGATGACTGAACATCTGTTTAGTATGAGTTTTCATGGGAAACCTGCCTCACTTGAGACTTCTTTAAACTTAGGCATGTTGCCACTTTGGACAGTGTCTTCTTTATTCTAAGTTGTTGAGCTTTAGTGCTGTTATTGCTTCTTTGTGATGAGGTAAGACTAGGGAGTGATTCCCCAGGGGTACTCTTACTACCTGCCCAGATCTTGACACAAAAGCACAAAGTGGCCTGAGTGTCTTGCTGACAAGGGATAAGATTTAGCATTCTTGAGAGAATGAAAAATGTCTTGCTTAGCTGTGGAGCATGAGCTGAAAATAACAGGAAGGGCTATGAAGTTTGCTGTCATGTCTGAGGCCCCACTGTTTAAAGACACAGCCTTGCTCCAGCAGACTGGAATGGGTGACTTTTCTCCAGAGCCTGGTTGTGGAGACATGAGAGTGTGTGACCACCACACACATCGGGTGCTTGCTGAAGATGCTGTTTGAGCTGGAAGAAAGAGGTGTGTGTGTGTGTGTGTGTGTGTGTGTGTGTGTGTGTGTGTGTGTATGCATGTGTATGCATGTGTGCACGCGCACGTGCATGTGTGTGTAGTATGTATAGGACAGCCCTGGCTGTCCGGGAACATGCCATTTAGAGTAGGCTGACCTCAAACTCACAGAAATCACAAGCCTCTTCCTGCCTCCCAATTAAATGTCTATACCACCTAAGCCAGAAAGATTTTAAAACTTTCAGAATGAGGTGTGGGGTGCGTGCATGCGTGCGTGTGTGTGCGCGTGTGCGAGAGAGACAAAATGTTATCAAGGAATTTGTGGTGGGCCTGTTTCGGGAAATGTGTTCCTGCATCTCCAGTCTTAGTAGGTGCCAAGGATACACTAGTTTACCTGCTCCTGCCAGCAAGTCTCCTGTCACCTCCTCTCTTAGCTTCTTAGCTGGTTTTGTCTTATATTGTCTCTAACACTAATTGTCTGCTTTTCTGCTTTCCACTGGAGTGGAGGGGAGCATTGTCTCCTGTCTGCCTTGTAAGATAGAGTTGTCAGGCATCCCAGCCTCCAATAGTGTCTGAGCTAGCACCTCTCTCTCCTCTCTTTGGAAGGCAAGCTTCTGGGCATGGCCCAAGGAAGCTCATTTAGGTTAGACCCAGGGAAGCATTTTGTTCAGCACAATGAGAAGTTATGATCTCATCTTAATTGAGCATTATCGAGTTCACTTAATTGAGTTCTTCAAAGTGTCTGGTGCAAATGAAACTGAGCACAGATGATAGTTGTGGTACCTCTTATACCAAAGTGCATGCTGTCCTCCAGGCGCTCTCAGCATCACTACAAAGTCTGTGCTGGCATCCTGGCTCCTCAAAGCTTTGTCCTACACACTACCATAAACTTCTTCAGCTCATGGACTTCCCAGTCCCAGCTTCTGACTCATATAGAACCTGCCATTTGGGCTATGTGCTCATATGGCTCTTGGTCCCCTCCTCTATCCCTCCTATCTACAATGAAACCCTTCCCCTCAACCATACCTTGGAGCAGTCATGTCCTCACTGTATACACAAAGCTCTGGCAAGCACCAAGAGATTTGGCTTGGAAGTCTGACTGTCTGAGACGGGCCAAGAGGGGACCCATTGGTTTAAGTTATGGCTGCAATAAAGACCTCCCAAGTTCTACCACATTGTAGCCACCTGGGGCAGCAGGGAGCCCTCCCACTCAGGTATTTTGAAATTCCTAGGCAATCCCAGTGCTCTCAGGGCTGTAAGCAGTGGAGCGCAGCCTTATGCGGTCACTGCTCACGGAAGCTGATGCTTGGACAGACAAATTGCTCAGGTGTTCCTTGAGTGTAGCTAATGTGGATAAGGCAGCCAGGAATCCTTGCCTGGAGTGTTTCATTGGTTAGCAGCTTGACTGAGAAGCTTTCAGATAGGTGTGAATAAAAAGCCAGCTGCTGTGTGCTTACCCCTCAGAGTCTTGTGTGCTTTAGTGTGCTACTCCCTGGAGATCAGGGCGGGAGGTATTGCATATGTTATCTACCCCATGCGTCAGCACCTTGACTGCTATTCAGGCCTCCCTGGCTCTACTGTGTCACCTGGCCCTGAGGCAGAGTTTGTACTTACTGACTTCCTTTTAACTTGGGACTATTTCTTCCCAAATTGAGGTTGTAAGGACCTTTTAGTGTGAGCACTAGAACAGGCTTACTAATGATGTGTTGGGGACATGTAAGAGTGTTCCAAATCCTTCACATTCACACAGTTTATTTAAAGGCCCCTCTCCTGGATGAAATTTAGCAAAAATTCTCAAGAGGATTCACAGTCATTAAGGCTTTTCATGATGGCAGGCCAGGGATGCGGCTCAGGGGTGGGCCACTTCGCCAGCATTAGTAGGGCCTTGGATTCAATCCCCAGCCGTGCAGACTGAAAAGCAGGCAACAAGAAAGATGGATGGTGCTGACGGCTGTGATGAAGCCATCCTACATGGCACCCGAGGGAACTGGGTTAGGAACAGTTCATGAGGCACATTGGAGAAAGTGAGGTAATATATTTGAACCGAGAGTACTCGTTCAAACTGTAGACTGCAGTTTAGAAGTTAAGGTACTAACTTCTGCTTTTTCTTGAGTTGGGATTATGCATCTCTGATTTGAAAACAAATTGGAGGCCCCCCTAGAAACACCTTAGCAAACATGGAGCTCCACATGGCATCCTACTATGTGCTCACTTTTTCTGTAGAAGAATAGTTCATTCCATCCATTCTCCTAAAGTTTTCCCTTCAAATAAATGGGTTGTTTTGTTTTCACAGTGTAGTTCAGGCTGGCCTGGAAGCCAGGGTCCTTGTTCCTCCTGCCTCCCAAGTGTTGGGATACTCCCAAGGTGTTTGCTTAAATAAGTAGGTAGTCTTTCTTACTTGTCACTTCAACAAATTATGATGGCATGAAGGATTCACTGGAACCTTGCTCTACCACAATTGCTTTATTAACCAAGAAGCCATGACCGTAGGCATGGGGATCAGTCTACCTATATACTGCTTTATTTGTCGGCAGAGGAAGGGAAGTCATTGTGTGTGTGACAGGAAAGGAGTTTTTCTTATACTAGGGATGGTTACTTCTGCCTTTGACTTCCATCCAAAGGCCAGTTGTCCTTTCTTGCCCTAACTCCACCAACTTAGTGACCCCAAATAATTTTGTCACTAGAGGTCCAGGGTGTGAAATCTGATGCCTCAGAATTCATTAAAGCCTCCTAGGTTTCCTTTCTTGCCGCCTGGCTATTGGCTGGAGAGCACAGCAGCCATGTGGCAGTCATCGGTACCCATGTGTCTACCTAACCAGAGAGAAAGGTAAAGCCGGTCTGTCCTCTCCTGTAGTGCTTTCTTCTCCAGAATCTCAGAACTGTCCAGTAGATGCACGCTCACTCCTCCTTGTCTCCCAGTCTGCTCCTTCTTCTGCATACACACTGGGAAGATTCTGGAGAGGCACAGAGTTCAAGATCCATATTCTGACTCTGGTGATGGCACTCACCAGGGTGGTTATAGCATTCCTCTGGCTTCACCCCTCAAGCTGCCACCCCATGCGCGCCCCTTGTCTGGGACCCTAGGTTCCTCCCCAGATCCTCTTGTCTCCACCATCCTAGCCAACCTCCCAGTATCCTTCCATGAGTTAGAACCTGTGGCCCGAAGTGACTTGTCAGTTTTAGCTGCCTTCGGTTTCCTTTGAATTGCTAGCATTTTCAGATGCCTGCCTTGTAGCTGATGTTTGATTTCCTGTGCACCGGCTCCTCTTGAGTCCCTGATTGGTACAGGCTCCAGCTATAGTCAGTTGGTAAAGAACATCTGGTCTGAAATTTACTTGCTGTGTACATCTGGTCTGAAATTTACTTGCTGTGTGTTTAGGAGGTGTGTGTGGCTTATTGTGAGACCACGCATCATGAATATGACAAACAGAAGTAGACTCGCATTTCCCTTCTGGATTTCAGTGTTTGGACAGCGTGTGTTTGGCATCCCCTCTTTTTGTGTCATAAACTGCCTGGCAACACCTTCCGTTTAGATTCATGTCTTAGCACCTCACCTGTAAGTTAATCTCATCTGGGTATGTGAGCACATTCTTAGTTTTCCCCAGATGTAGAGTTGTCACTTTGGTGCAGTGCTTGTCAGGGTATCCGTGCAGCCGTTAAAGCCGCGGGGTGTTTAGGTACCTGCAGGGGTTTCCTGCACTCGTGGCAGAAATTCTGCTTTAGCTTTTCATTATAATCTTGGCCCCTCAACCAAGAGATGTGTTGGGTGCTACCCTCACTCTCTGAGCGAAGAGCCAGCCCTGTCTCAATGACACTGAAGTCATCCTGTGCATGCTAGCACCCCTCACGTCTAAATTCCACTGTTAAGAGTCTGCTGCTGGCTTATGCTCACAGTGGTATGGAACTTGGGGCATTTTAGCCATGGCTTTAGGCTTTCCTACCACATTTCCTAGTCTTTCCTTAGTATGTGTATGTGTATGTGTGTGTGTGTGTGTGTGTGTGTATACATACATTCACACACAGATGTGTGCATCTGTGCATAGGCCAGAACAGGATGTTGACTATCCTGCTGTTTCCACTTTCTGCCATATTCCTGAGGCAAGGCCTCTCACTGAAATCAATTCTGGCAACCACCAGCCCCAGCAAGCCTACTGCCTCCTCTCCCTCCTTATAACATTGGGATTACAGGGGGCTTGTACTCGATCATGCCTGGCTTTTTATATGTGTTCTAGGGATTTGAACTGATGTCCTCATGCATGTATAGTAAGCTCTTACACACTGAGCCACAATTGCTTTGTTTTTGTTTTATTGAGACATAGTTTCTCTGTGTAGTCCTGGCTGTCCTGGAACTCTCTCTGTAGACCAGGCTGGGCTGGAACTCACAGAGACCCTAACCCTGTCTCTGCCTCCCAAGTGCTGGGACTAAAGGTGTGCGCCACCACAGGCCGACTGCAACAACAGATTTATCTTTATCCTCTCTACTATGCTCATATCATCCCTTCTCTATGTTGGTTAATGAGAAGTTAAAGCTCCAGTAAAACCCTGGAAGGAGACTGAAGAAGAGCTCTTGGGCAGGGTGCGGAGTAAGAGAACATGTATGACATGAAATTGGGGTGCCAGGGGACCAGCAAGGTCCTCTTTGAGGGGGAGATGCAGGAAAAAGAGGAGAAATACAAATGCAGTATCTATGAAATGCTACCAGATCTAAAGAACTAAAAAGAAGTGAGGGAAAGATCAGTGTAGAGCCCAGTGTGCAGATCACCTTTAGCCAATTGGGTGGGTTGATGCTGCCCAGGAAAATGTGAAATAAACCACATATGTGACTATTTCTCATTAGCCACATTCAAATGTAAACCAGTAACAGGAAGCTAGTGACAATTTTAGCAGTTTTACCCAGTGTATCAAATATTTTGCATATGTTTACTCAGTACTAACTATTCAATGCTATTTGTTTTCTCAGTCTAGGCTAGCCAGGTTCAAGTGTAGGAGCTAAGGCCTGTAGTCATGGCTGCTTTGTGTGGGCAGAAGGCAGAGGCCAAGTGCCTTCCCTTGGCTTACAATCTTGTGCTGTGCCAGTGTGTTCCATCTGAACTCTGTCATCTCTGTGTGTCTCCCTGGGCAAGTTCACTTGAAGACAAGCCATCCGCAGAGGAACGGAATTATTCTGTTGCTGGGGTGGAAGCACACTCTGGGGCACAAGTGCCTGCACGGGGCCAGGAGGAGGGAGGCATTTCCCCTCTGTTTCTCTTTAGTGTGTGGGCATTCCATGGCCCTCTGCATATTAATCTGTTCTTATTTATTGGAGGGATTTGGGGTGAGGATGCTGCAGTAGTGAGACCTGGGCCCTGCCTGCCACTAACTGTGATTAGTGAGAACTAGGACCCCGCACCAGTTACTGTGAGTGGTGAGAACTGGGGTCCCCACACCAGTTACTGTGAGTGGTGAGAACTGGGGTCCCCACACCAGTTACTGTGAGTGGTGAGAACTGGGGTCCCCACACCAGTTACTGTGAGTGGTGAGAACTGGGGTCCCCACACCAGTTACTGTGAGTGGTGAGAACTGGGGTCCCCACACCAGTTACTGTGAGTGGTAAGTGCTGCCCCCCTCCCCCTGCACCAGTGACTGTGAATGCTGAGTGGTGAGAACTGGAACTGGGCCCCCACACTGGTTACTTGCAGCATTTTTTTCCTCTGAAGATCTGGGCGTGGTTGTGGATTGTCCCAGACTGACTGTGTGTCCCAGATTCCTAGGTCGGGGAACTCACAGCCAAGAGCTTTGTTCTCACTGCTCTGGAGATGAGGGACTCTTGGTCACAACATCACCACCCACCATCTGCTAGAGAGAACATGATGTTCTGAGTGCCCCTACTGAGGAGGCCACCATGCCATCCTGTGGTTCTTTGCAAGGGTGGTGTGTGTGATGTCAGTAACACATGAGAATGGCTTTTGCCATGAACCCTTGCTTTTTTAATGATTAAATGTATTTTTCATTTTGGTTATATAATTGGACTCATCTACATTACTTAAATCTTTATTTAGGTTCCCTTCCTTTCCATAGTCCCACTGAAGTCATGCTTCTGTCATTAGTCAATTATCTGTGTCTGTCTGTCTAAAGCGGTCAATGCTGGCTTTCTTCCAACTTACTGATTTAGCAACACTAAATTATATCTCCAGTCCCCTAATCAAGTTCGTCTGAACATTAAAAATCTGTTTCTTCAGGGGGTGGGGTGAGGAGATTGCAGACACACAGAAGGCAGAAATTAGCACAGGGACCCGTTTTTATATGCGGTACATAGATGCTGTTGTTTCTGTAGGATATTCAGGGTACATCTAGCCCATTTCTTTTTCTTTCTTTCTTATTTATTTATTTATTTATTTATTTATTTATTTATTTATATAACCAAGTCCATTTAAATGAAAACAAACATTTATAGACAGTATTTGGGAATTTGGGCGTCGTTCTTTCCAAACTACTTCCTGCTGGTAAGGGGCGCTGTCATGGGGGATTCTAAGAAGATGCAGAAATCCTGGCTGTAGTCTGCAAAGTTGGTAGCTCATTTCTTTTTCAATAGTACTTATTATTTTTCACTGGAGAAGAATTTGAGTATCGTACTCTGAGGATTAAACATAAAATAAACTAGTTTTGTAAGTAGATAGTGGGGAGATGCCATCAAGTCGCCCCCATGTTATGCAACATGAATAGCATGATTTCCTGATTTTTTTAAAAAATATTTGGAAACATGATGATGTGTTGAAGTCCATGTTCTCTATCATCTGTTATTCTTGACACCTTCCTTGCTGAGTATGAAGAATGGCCTTTATTCATGCCAAGTATGTCTCAATAGAAACTACATCGAAAATAGAGCATCTTGGAGTCTCTTACTTTGTCACAAAGAAGAATGCAATCATGTCATTTTGGGAAATGGATGAGACTAGAAATTACAGAAATTAGCCAGACTCAGACATGGTTTGTCTTATGAAAAACCTGGAGTTAAAAAATATAAGAAATGCCTAGGTATGGTGGCACACACCTTTAATCTCAGCACTTGAGAGGAAGAGGCAGGCCTGTTTGAGGCCAGCCTGTTCTATACAGTGAGTATACAATTCAGCCGGACATAGACAAACCCCCTCTTCCCGTGTGTGTGTGTGTGTGTGTGTGTGTGTGTGTGTGTGTGTGTGTGATAAAGCAGGAGAAGGGACACACACACACACACACACACACACACACACACACACACACACACCCCATAAAGTAGGACAGGAAATATATACACACATGGATGACAAAATAGGAGTCAGGGTATATCTACATCATCTGTATGTATAAATATATGAATGACATAGAGTAGGAAGATTATATGCACAGATACGGGAATGATGTAAACTAGGAGAGGAACCCCAAGCATCAAGGGTGCCCAAGAGAAGGACCTGACCACTGTACATTATGTGCATGCTAACGCTAACTGTCTCACGCCAGAGCCTGTTACTTTGTTAGATTGCTTTCTCCACTGCACCACACAGAGTCTCTAAGTGTGAGTGAGTGATGGGTGCTAACACTCGGTTGTGCTTATTTCCTGACAATAACAGGGTGACTCAGAAAAAGACCATGATAACAAGAAGATGAGATTGGAGAAGGATGTCCAGTCACACTGTGCTGCATCGTCGTCTTCCCACAGCGAGTCCTCCAAAACGAAGTGAGTATGGCAGAGGGGAGCAACCCGGGACAGTCAACCAGCCTCGGGTGGTGACAGGACAGGCTTTCTCCTGCACTGTGAACAGTGACCTGTTCTGAGCCAATGGTGTGGTCGTTCATGAGGTCCCATGAGAATTGACAGCCCCACCCCCATCCCCTACAAACCTAGGCATATCGAAAAGTTTCCACTAAAGAGCATTTCCTAGACAATGAGGATTACTTCTCTTTAGAAACCCTTTTTCTAGTTATATTGATGAATTCCGAGGCCTTGTACCTGCTAAGCAAGGTGCTCTGCCACCCAGCCATCTCTGGTCTGGATCCCCCCACCCCAAGAGGATAAGAGCCAGTGGTACAGTTCAGTGTTGTGCATCACTTAGAGCATGAAGTGAGGTCCTAGACTTTGAGGCAGAGGGACAGAGAAGAAAAGTGTCATCACTACTTTCTTTTCTGTTTTTAGTTGTGTTGTTTTGTCTTGTTTTAAGCAGAATGAGAAATGGGTAAAATTTTCTCAAAGCCCTGGAGTCCCTACTGGGTCTTGCTTGGACTTGGGGTAGCTTGGGTCAGTGCTCTCTGCCTTAGAAGAGTGGCCTTCATGTGTCTGTCTGTGGGTGGGCGGGAAATGACAGATGACAGTACTGGTGTCAATCAAGATGGTGTGACTTCTCTAAGGCTTATCCAAGAAATTGCCTCTCAAGTGCATCACAAGTGGACTTGGATTGTGGATTGTCAGAGGGTGTATGCCACCAGATACAGGAGAGTGACAGATGTGGTGTGGCAGCTAAGCTTGCCTGTTTGTCAGGTTAAGATAGGGATAGTGATGGGAACGGTGAAGGAATCTTCCAGCTGAGTGGAGACTCCACAGTTGGTTTCTAACTGAGATCGAGGCTGTATAGAGCATCGGGACGTCCCTAAAACCTGGCCGTTCTGTGGCACAGTTGCAGGCTCTGTGACACTGCAATCTTTGGTGCCAGTGACTATTTCCTCCTCCCGTAAACAAAGGACAAAATATGATGCGCTTTCTGCTTTGACTGCCATTGTTCTCCAGGACACCTAGGCCCTCCTCGGAGTCCTCAAGAAAGGAGATGCTTCCTCCACCTCCTGTCTCGTCCTCCTCTTCCTCCCAGAAGTCAACTAAAGCTGCACACAAGAGGTCAAAGGCAGATGCAGACTCCTGTAGTCAAGACCCTCCCAAAAGTGCCAGCAGCACCAAGAGCAACTATAAGGACTCTCCCGTCCCCAAGCACAGAAAAGTGCAGGCCAGGAGCTCTGAACACAAAGTAAGCAACTAGGCAGTGACAGAATGGGTGATGGGTGTGGCCTTTGCGCTCTCACATATGCCAATGTCAGGACATTTGTGTGTTTTAGTATGGCAACCTTGACTGGTTTTTAAAGAGCTAATAGGGGAGGGGTCGTCTATTAAAGTGAACGGGGGGGGGGGATCCCACTAGCCTTCATAATGCATTCTGATCACATGCTTAGATGCTTGGCTTAAGAAGTGGTCTAGTTCAGTTCTTTCAGTTCTTTGTTTGGAACTTTAATCTCAAATACTTCAATTATTGATCACAACAGGAAATAAGTCAGGTGGCCTGGCTTCCAGTTAGCCTGGGTCATGCTGGTGGTGGGGAGGCCCTTCCGCTGTAGCTCCAGTTAAATCTGTAGCTCGGGAAGTGCTGGGTTCAAGCTGACTGCAGTTTAACTCACTGCGAACCCTGCTCTCCTGGGCTTTGGAGGGCTGTTGCGGCTAGGGCAGTGGTCCTGTCCCCTGAAATGAAAGGGTGATGTGTGTGTGTTTTAAAGGGGTCTTCAGGAGAAGCTGCAAATCCTTTCCCAGTGCCTTCTTTGCCAAATGGTAACTGTAAACCAGGGAAGCCGCAAGTGAAGCCTGACAGGTGAGCCTCACCCCACCCCACCCCTCCCCCACCCCACCCTTTTGCTTTCTCCCTGCTCCACTCTTTATTTCCCCCTTTCTTTCTTATCTTCTTTTGCCCCAGGAAGTCATTTTAGGTTTGTATGACTCACACTTGCCTTTCCTTTCTTTTATTTGCAGACACCAAGCTGATTTTCACATGAAGGAGGCTAAAAGGTTGAAGTGCAGAGCAGAAGCTATGGTCAGTCTTGGTTTTATGACCTTGGTTAAACAGTCTCTGATTAAGGGGGAGAGCTGTGTCTCCCTTCTGCCAAAAGGCACACCATGGAGTGTGTATGTGTGGGGATGGAGCACTGTGTGCAGGGTTCTGGGGTGGGGGCAGCAGCAGGAGTGTGGCTAAGAGCCACATTGTAAGCAGGATAGTCAGGGTCTCGGACTGTTTTGGGGAATTGTTCAGTCTTAGAAACTATCTGAGTGCAAGCTGTCAGTTTAATGAATGAATTTTACTTTTTTTTTTTGTCAATTCACTTAATCAGTCCTTGAGATATACAAAATGATTATTAAATCAGTCTGCATCCCCCTAAAAGCTGTGCTAGGTGAGGAAGCCTAATTCTTACGCACTGACCTGAGGAGATAGTTGGCCATGGGAAGGCAGTGTCAGGTGCAGACTATAAACATGTCCTCACTTGCGAGCCACCGACCTTCTGGACGGGGATGGTTTGCTGTTTACTGTAGATATCAAGTATGTTCTTACATTCCTGTAGCATTTAGGTGGGGTCACACGTGCCCTGGGACTTAACATTTATTGGGGCAGGAGTTGTGCCACAGTCAGAAGCAGCTCTCAGAAGCTGGTTCTCCCTGCCCACCCTCTGGTGGGTCTCAGGGGTCAGCCCGTTGCCACTGTGTTTGCCAGCACACACTTTTGCCCACTGAGCCTCTCATTGGCTCCCTGAAAGGCACTCTGGACAGATTGCTCCTGGGGACCCCCAGGCAGACCTGTTGGCTCTTTGTGACCTGACTCAGCTGCTTCCTTTTGCCCAATGGGACTTTGACCTATGTCTTTCTACCTCAGGTTGCAGGTCCTCTGTTTACCAGATAAAATGGTCCTTGGTTACCACCCATGCTTGGTGCTGTGAGGGATGTTGGCAGGCCCTTCGGCCCTAGCACTGACACTACCTACACCCAGGCTGTGGCCAGCTCAGCCTGTGCCAAGCAGTGCTACGCTTCCCTAGCCTCTTCCCCACCTTCCAGTGCTCCGCAGAAGCCCTGCGGCTCTTTCAGGTTTGGGGGCCACTGCTCTGCCCCATAGGCAGATAACCAAAAACTCACTCGACCTGAGACACTGTTAGCTTTTGCCTCCCTCTTAGTCAAACACTTACTTTCTCCCCGGTGGGCCAGGACCTCACCCCCCTCCTTGCTTTGCACCAATTGCTTCTTACTGTACAATTATTCTCAAGACCTGCTACTTCCAGTAGTCAGCTGCATGTGGCTGCTCTCCCCATGGGTACCCCCCCCCTTTTCATATGCAAGACCTTATACAGCCCAGGCTGGCCTCAAACATGTAGCCCTTCCCCTGCCTCGGCCTCTCAGTTCTAGAGTCACTGGTGAGTGCCACCATGCCTAGCTGCTATCTTTTATCTGTTCCATGACACTGCCGAGCTGTTCATTTGGCATCCAGGCAGTGAAGTGCACACCTGGAGTGTGTTTCCCCTTACACTGTCCTCTCCTTCAGTGGGGAATCTCAGCTGGACCCTTCTAGCACTATTTGAGGAGATTGATGGACATTGGGACAGGAATGCCATTGTCAGCCTTACAGAGTATTCAAGGAACTGGGCATGGGCTGATTGTTATGATACTTTGTTTTATACCAAGGTTAACAATAATTTTGAAAATCCCCCAAGAGAATTCTTCATCACAGGGGCTAAGAGCACTTGCTGCTCCTGTAGAGGACCTAGGCTCAGTTGCCAGCATCATCACATGGCAGCTCACAATCTCCTACAACTACAGGTCTGGAGGATCTGATGTTCCTTCTGACCTCTGCAGGCACAGCACGTTTGCACTGTACACATATACACATGCAGACAAAACACCCATTCACATGACAATAAAATAGAGAATTAGAGTTCCATCAATGAAGCAAACTAGTCATAATCTATACAGCTGATTGAGGCATACTAGTTGGAGTTGTGTTTTTCTGTCACTAATTTTTTGAGCTCAAGCTCTGTAGGAAAAATTACTTTTACTTCTGAAATCTGAAAAGCTTTAGTATCTGAAATGCAGGTGACACCCCAGTTTGTCCCTCAAGTGGTAAGATGAGGTAGCAGAAGCAGGGGAACAGCTCTTTCCCTAGCCCTGTGCCCCCCCCCATCTCTCCTCCCCTCCTCCCCCACCCCATGCACAGCAGCAACACATGGAAACCCAGAGCAGCCTAAGGCGGACCTATCTTCTTCCCTGTTTCCAGCATGTATTTTTACAGCTTTCCTCAACTCTGAACAGAGCAAATGGAAGCATTAGCAAAACCTACAAGCTGGCCATGTTAGCTGGCTGTGCTCAGTGTGTGTTGTATGCCACGTGCAGAGAAATGGGCTGTTTGCCACATTTCTGCTTAGCTGAATTGGCTGTGTGCCACTCGGCAAGATCAAGTGACCAAATGTGTATTCAGGATTAGGCAGACCATCAGTATCTGATTTTGTTTATATTTCCACATTTCCTTGAGGGGATTTTGAGAGTTTGTCCCTGTTGGCCCAGGGCATGTCCCTACAAAAGATGTACATGCCAAAGGAGATTAATAGTCTGCCAGGCTATCAAGTGATCAGTTAGATATTTTATATAAGATGCCTATAAGACGATAAGCCTCAATATCCACAAAGAAACCCGTGGCTGTTCTGTTAAGATGCTAGCTCACCTGCATCTCTAGAGGTAGCCAGTGAGTGACTGGACAGCCACTAATGGGGCTGTACTCTTTGTGTTTGGTGAAGTTCTGAGAGTCATCTTAATACAGAATTCCTTTCTTTTCCTTAATGAATTTTTCTAGAAGCCACTTTTCATAGGTCAGAGCTGACCAATATGGCTATTCTTCTTGTTCTGTTTACTCTTTTTTTTGTGTGTCTCTTGTAATTGGGAGTAAATAAAGACAGTAGAGACATTACAGGGTACAATGTGTGTTCTTCCCCCACAGGCGGACAAGGCTGGAAAGGCCTTCAAGTATTTGGAATCCATCCTGTCTTTTATTGAGTGTGGGATGGCCACAGAGTCAGAAAGCTCAGCAAAGTCGGCGTACGCTGTGTACTTAGAAACTGTAGACCTCATTAAGTAAGTGCTGGGGTGTTCTGCCTCCATCTCCCCCCCCCCGCAAGTAAAGGCAGCTAAAGTGTAGCCCTAGAGAGATCCCTGTACTTCAGTGGCAGCACCTGCCTGTCATGACCCAGGCCTTTTTCTCTTGTCCTGAGTTAAAGTGTGTTGGGGATGAGGCCTGGGTGCACCCAGGCCATTTTGCTGAGTCTCTGGGGTGCTTTTCCCAGCTTAGGTTTCCTATTGGTGTCTTTTCCCGTGTGTGCTCCCTGCCCTTTGTTGGGGTTTAGGGAGAATGTGGCCACGCTTGGTTTCAGGAGAGAGCAGGCTCACGGGTCAGGTCTTCTGAACGGCTAGTGGTTGCTCTTAACCCCTATGCTTCATGCCCTCTGGAAGACAGGAGGGGAAGCTAGCACAGCCAGCATACCTGGGCTCCTGTGACTGACCTGTTTAATCTTGTACACTTTTGTATCCCCCTGCAGGTTTACAATGTCACTGAAATCCTTCTCAGATACCACGGCGCCAGCACAAGAAAAGATATTTGCTGTTTTATGGTATGTACATTTTTATTTGTTGTAAAAATAGTACTGTTCTTTGATGAAAACATTATCTACATAATGGATGTCCTGGAACTGTGAGTTTGAGGCCAGTCTGACCTGTAGAGAGAGATCTGCTTGCCTCTGCTTTAGCTGGGATTAAAGGTGGGCACCAGCACACCTGGCTCTAAACTTACTTTCTTGAAGTGAAAACTGTGGCAGAAGGCAGGTGAACCCACCGTGGCCTTCGGGAAGTGGCGTCTGCTGTGCTCTTACACCCCTTGGGGGCTGCTTTGGCCTCAGGATTCAAGTGATCTTTGTGCTTTTGTTTTCCTGCCATTGTTTACTTGTGGTGGCCCTGTACAGTGTGGTGAGATGCTTGAGATGACCCCCCCCCCAACAGGCTCACAAGGGCTGACTGGCAGTGTGTCTCCTAGTGGGAGCTCTGACCATAATTCATGGTAACCTCTGGTTTTTTTCCCCCACAGCTTGCGTTGCCAGTCGCTGTTGAACATGGCTATTTTCCGATGTAAAAAAGACATAGTAATGAAGTATTCTCGTACTCTTAGTGACCACTTCAAGAGTTCTTCCAAAGTGGCCCAGGCACCTTCTCCAAGTATGGCAAGGCAAGTGTTAAATAATATAGTCAAGTCATTCACCTCTTGCTTATGTGACATTTTATGTGTATGTGACTTTGGGCTTTTTAAAAAATCATGTAGTTCACTTTTATGTACACTGGCTCTTTAAACCTAAACCATTAGCTGCTTTTGTCCCTCTGAGAAACAGATATAAACTAAATTTAGGTTGATAACATACAAGGTACAGTGGTCCCCTCTTACCTGCAGTAGGCACATCCCAAGATTGCCAGTGGGCTGCCTAAAACCCCAGCGAGCCCTGAGCCTTAGGAGCCCTCCCTAAGCTGCACCCTTTGTTGTACAGGTGAGAAGGCAGGGACAGTGGGAGATGAATTACAGTGGCTGAGCCTGTGTGTGTGGGCTCTGCAGCAGTGAACTTCCTGAGCCGGTGTGGGTCTCCTGGTATCATAAAGAAATTAGTGATAATAGTGAAACAGTTTTAATACACAGTAATGAGAGTTCCAGACTGTGCCCTCTCTGTTGAATCAAGATGAGCAGTGATGTTTTGGGGCATGGCTTGCTGCAGTTAGCAAGTTAGGCTGTGGATAACGGGGCAGTGATGTTCTGGGGGTGGGGGGGGTGGCCAGTCAGGCCTGAGCAGGTTTAACTGCTGAGCTGAGGGGAGGGAGGCACAGCTCAGTGGCGCCGAGGATCCAGTCCCAGAAGGTGAAGACTTAGTTCAGATGAGCATGGTGGGAACGCAGGCCAGTCTTCCAGGTCTGCCTTTGATCTTGTAGGAAAGACTTTAGCAGTGATTATTGTTTTGGGGGTACAACCTGAAATTTAGTCTGTGATTAACCAAGTCTCTCTCTATCCTTGCAGAAGCACAGGTGTCCCGTCCCCGCTCTCCCCAATGCCTTCTCCTGCCAGCTCAGTAGGGTCCCAGTCGAGTGCTGGCAGTCTGGGGAGCAGTGGGGTAACTGCCACCATCAGTACTCCAGTCACCATCCATAACATGACCTCGTCCTATGTCACCATCACATCCCATGTCCTTCAGGCCTTCGACCTTTGGGAACAGGCAGAGGCCCTTGCAAAGAAGAATAAAGGTGAGAGGCAGTGTGGTGTGGAGGTGGGGGGTGTTTTGGTTCTTGTTTGCACTCTGTCTCACGAAGCAAGAGATGGGTAGCCATTCTTACCCCCTCTGCTCTGCTCCATAGCCCGGTTGCAGGTCTTCCTTGAGGTATGTGGTGTGAGCCAAGTCTCTGCCAAGCCAAGTTAGAATTGGCGTCACTGTTTTGGCTTGAATTGAAATGGTAGCGAAAGCGCGGGGCTGAATGGAGATGTCGTCTGGCTGTCCCTTGGCTCAGCAGCACATCCGAGATGAAGCAGCATGGCCCCAGGGCTGTTTGTCTTCAGCACTTATTAAGATGACCACCTATAAGCTATACTAGACAACAGCATAGCAGACATTATTGAGACCTATCTGGGGGAGGATTGGGAGCTCCAGGTTTGAGTCAGAAGTGAATGGTGCTTGTGCCAGCTAAGTCCCTTCCCCCCCCTCCATCTCCACCCCACACATACACAGAGGACACCGTTAGATCTTCCTGGTGGGAGAAGGTGGCCAGTGCCCTGGCTCTCATCTCCCCACAGCCTCTTGGCCTTCTTGGCAAACTGTCCCCTCTCCCCTCCTGCACTCATTGCTCACAATGCATCAGTTGGTCACCACACACATCAGCCACTGATCTAGGCATGAGTCATGGACTCAGAAGGGAGGGCTGTAGCCAGCACTTACAGACAAGCATGCTAGATGAGCCACAGGATGTTGTGGGGAGACTGTCTCTGGACTGTTTTACATTTAAACTTGACGTTGTACATGTGTTTACTCATATTTATTTGATTTGGATTTTACTGCAGAATTCTTTGCCCAGCTCGGCACAAAGGTGCGCATCTTGGCCCTCAACAGCAGCCTGGTGGACCTGGTGCACTACACAAGACAGGGTCTGCAGCGGCTGAAACAAGCACCCAAAACTCCCTAATGCAGGCTGGGCTTACTTGATGCCCTGCAATGTCTTTGCACAATTGGAAGCCTTGATCCAGTGTAGACAACTGTCGATCCGGATGTTACACTCAAGAAGTGAAGCGCGGTGAGATGGCCAGAACGCTTGCCCACTTAAACACACAAGAGCTGTGTGCGTGGCCATCGGTTGGACACTGGTTGGCAGAGCAGACGGTGGTAAAGGATCTGCCTTTCCTAATGGAAGGACAGAAGTGCAATGGAGCCTACGTGGCATATGAATGGTCTACCAACATTTCTGTTTTGTTTGTTTGAACAGTAGCATACAAGCTGCAAGTGACAGCCATTTCAAGTCTCACAGACTCCTGTCATCTCAGTAGCTATACTAGTTCACTTCTAGAAGGAATTTTCTTTTGAATAATAATTTTTGGTGAAGGGTTTTATGGATACACATTTTTTTCTTTTCAAGTTTTAAAGGAAACATTGTTGAATAAATTCTAATGGCTGCCTGTAAAATAGAAGTTGGAAGACTCTGCTGTGCCTCAGTTCCTGCAGTGAAGCAGGGTCTTTGTTGACATTGAGTATTAGCATTTAGAGATTGAAGGTGGCGCCCCGCCCCGCCGAACCCGCCCCCAGTGCCTAGAGTCCTCTGCACATAGTCTGGCTCTGATCTCTAGCTACACTGAGAGCAAACCCAGGTCATCCCTGGAGGAGTGGCAGCATCTAGATCCAGGACCCAGCTTACGTCTTCCCCACATCCCAGGAAGCAGCACCCATGTGGGCAAAGGGAGCCAGTGTTTGCCTTGGGCTGGACTTCATGTACTCAAGTCCCAGGTGCTGGCGGTGCCATGGCAACTCGTGCATCAGTGAATAAAAGTGAGATCTTCCTACAGAGGCTGTATTTTTCTGCTACAAATTATATTTATAGCAAAACTCAACTTTCCAAAGCCCTTGATTATATGTGGAGAGCAGATTTGGGGTAGGGGCGTTTCTCCAGACTGTCTTCTCAGGTACCATGATTCCATGATGTTGAAGAGGACCTGTGACTTCCCTAAACGATGTACCCCACCCACATGGACAGAAAGCAAGAGGACAAACTCAGAATCACACCTGCCCATAAGCACAGGCCTTTCACCGAAACTGGGGAGGATATTACTGGAATACTCTGAGTGCAGTGTTTTTTGTTTGTTTGTTTGTTTTTTTTTTTATAAAGCCAATTCTTTTTACCCCTTCTAGAAAGTAAAATTTGCAAGGGTGTTCTCATTGTGGAAGCGTGTTATGGCTCTTCACACCCTGTCTCCTCTTCTACAAGTCATGCTGTGTGTCTGTATCTATGGATTAGTAGACAGGAGGCCCATCTTAGTAAGGGTGCCTGTGGTCCCTGGGGTCGTGGATGAGAACACTTTCTTAGTACTTTGGTAAATCTGCACAGGGCTGCAGGTGAGTGTGATGTCAGATATGATCTTCTCCACCTTTTGTCCTGTTTTGGATAACACCAGAGAAAAGGCTATACTTTGTGCATACCTGAGAGTAGACTGGCTGTGAGCTGACCAAGCAGCTTTTTGTATGGGTCATCTGGAGAACTTGGTAGCCGAGCTGCAGCATGGGATAGGTTGTCCCTGGCGCTTCATCACTTCTTAAGTAGAGTTTGGCTTGTGGGCTCTTTGATCTTTCCCCCTCTCCCATGGCTGTCTGTCCCTTGCTGTCCCTTTGCTTGTGACTGGTTCTGGTCTAGGCATGTTTTGCTAAAAGCACACATGTCCTGTCAGCGGACCCTGTGCCCCTTGCCTGAACACCTTCAGCAGGGGCAGGAAGAACAAATCACCCTATCCTTTGTACTAGATGCATTTTCTCAACTCTAAATTCGGACAAACCTGTTTATACCCATTTGGTCTGTAGATGTGTTTTTCCACAACACTGTACCTAAAGAGAGAGATCCTCCCTCTTGCCACCATTGTGATTGGATGAAGCACAGTGGTTGGCCAGTGTTGTTACTGCTCATCATCATAGAAACCTGGAGAATCTAAGCTATTTGCATGCACTCTTCACTGTATGCTTACAGTCCCCAAAAGCCACTTACCCCCTGAGGTAATTAATTCCTTGAATGTGGGGTGTTCTTGGAACCACAGAATGATTCCATGGTGAGGCACGCAGCATAGGAGTGAAAATCAGTCTTGCCTTTGCCATTACAAAGGGTATGTATGGTCTGTCTGCAATAGAAAGTAGAAGGACACACTTTTTCCCAAGTGTTGAAAAATTTGACACATGTAAAAAGCCCTACTAGATAACAATTTAAAAAAACATGTCACTAAAACCAGTCGCTCTGTTAAGGTGCCAAGAGGGCAGGCCACATGGGAGCAGGAAGGCCCAGCAAGTGCATAAGACGTACCTGATTTATTGTAATGTTTTGATAAGAACATCTATCTATCCATCCACTGGATAGACAGGACCCCACCCAACCCCTCTGTGTTCTCTAATTCCAGATCTTAGGACGTTTCACGCCGGCTCTTCCCCATCCTAATTGAAAATGTGCCTTAACTGACACCTTATGTATTGATGTTAGGGATAGGGCCCCGTCTTAGGGTTCCTGTTTCTGAATTCAGTGCTGAGTGCTCCACACACAGCTATGGTCTCTGACGCAGAGGATTAGAGGTTCGTCTGGATGCTTTTGTGCCTTTGTTGACCAAACAATTTCTGAAGTCACACTGTTCATTTTGCCACAGCTTCAAGGGTTTGTTTCCTTTCTAGCTTTGTGAAGTTTGAGGTGTGTTTGTGCATCTTAAGGTAAATGAGTTGGGCTTTAAAAAAAATATTACCTGCAGCTTCCTTCTTCCTCTTGCTTTATTTTCCCAACACTACAGAAACGCTGTTGAAAGCGTTCTTCATCACACTGCACAGCACTGTGTACATCTCCCAAGAATATTTTGGGGCTCCTTTTAGAAACACGGAAGTGTAGATTTTTCTCACTGAAGAATGAGCTACTGTGTCACAGCTAGGCTCAGTTTTGATGCCTTCCTGTCCTCTTGCTGCCACCTCCTGCTGGTCTTGGTCCATTTGGAAATAAGGGGTATGAGGATGTTTCCTGTGCCTTTTTTGTCTCTTGTCCTGTGGAAGGGCATGGTATTGGGGTTTTCCTTCAAAGTCTGTAAGTGGTATTTCTGCCAGGTAATCCTCCAATGTCTGTCCAGTCACGCCGGCTTCCCAGTGAGAACAGTTGCCTCATGGCCACACTCTTGTTGATGGTGCATCAATGAGCATATTTCTCCAGATGACTGGAGATTTCTTGGGAGTGAATCACACTATTTTTTGTTCTACTTTGCATCCGAAATCAGCAGTTACTGTGATGAACAAAAAAAAGTGCCTCTTTCCCTGCCTAAGAGGGAGCCGGAGGACAGGAAGGGTGCCGAGAGCTCCAAGTGTCCCTAGGACACTGGAATAAGGGCACTGACAGGCAGGCCAAGCTGCACTGTGCTGTGGTTGACCTAAGGAAGATGAGCTCACGTTGCCTAGGTGTTTCAGCAACACTCAGTACAGGCAGTATTAAGTTTGCCTCTGTTCAGGCCATGACATGTATTGCTAATACTGCACACCTTCACGATATCAAGCACACACTGTTCATGTCGGGGTGGTGTGGGCACGTGTGTCCCCCCAAATCTTGTCTTTTTTCCTGAATGTGATCATGTTTTGGATGATACCTGAGCAGGGTTGCCTTTTTTTTATTTATTACCATTATATATTATATTATATATTATATATTTTCTTTCTTATAATGTTAGAGGAAAGTCAAATCTTGGTATTAAAATTTTCTAAAAAGGAATAGGTTGTCCAGGTGATAATGAAAATCCCTGGTATGTCTTTAATGAGTTTTTCTTTGATTACCATGTGCCAGCTCTCACCAGTACAGTGGTCTAGTAAGCAGGCTAGGAAAGCAGGGATTCTTGCCGTGAAGATGTGCAACAAAAATACGGGAACACCACGCTTTGTGTCAGCTTCAGCAGCAGCCTGCACACTGGGCTTTTGTGAATGAGATTTAGATGCCCTAAAGAGTACTTGAAAGGCAGGCATGATCTGTGAAAGGATGCTTTTCTTTTTTTAAAGAATATCTGTAAAAGATCTTTCCAAAGATAATGTGCCACAGATCTTTTATTTTTCTCTGTTATGAGGATTAAGTGCTGTTTTAAAAATGTAATTGACTTGTTCATCTTCACAGTCTTTCCTTTCCACAAGATCAAACTGTAGAAAACAAATATTTAATAAACATTTAGAGAAATCACTGGGGTTGAGTATGTGGTTTTTATTTTGCCCCAATATGGTGATTGTTTGTTTGGGGCTAGGGTCTGTCTGGTGCCAAGACTGAGCTCACGGGTCCTCCTGTCCTTCCTAGTGCTGGCACAGCCACCATGCCAGGCAGCATGAAAGGCTGCCACCTACAGTTAGAGCAAGTTTCTCATGACTTTCTGCTGTGTTCACAGTATGTTTATACTGTTGATGTGGGGAAAGAAATAACACATCAAGACAAGCCTGTAGAGTCCTCAGCTGTCTGGTCCTAAGGAAACACCAACAGTCGCTTAGAATTAGACAGGGCTAGGGTACTGGCTCTGACTTTCTGAGTTTGAACCTCTGCTTTCTAGTTCCATGGCTTTGGACATGTTAATTAACCTCTCTGGTCTTACTGTTTAATGTGCTTGCTAGTCCGTCAGATTGACAAAGGCCACAGAGATTGATTTGACCCATTTTCCTTCTTCATCCTCTCAGTACTAGTGACACAGCATGACCCATCGAGCAAGCCCATGATAAAGGGGACTAGAATACGTGTAGGGAAGGGAGTCTATGCTAACACAGGTCTCAGCCAACAAGGGCCTTGAGAGATGAGTGACTCGTCTTCTGTGTATGTGATGTTTTTTTGTTTTTTTTTTTAACCAAAAGACTTGTCTGTACTGACTCACTCACCTAGCCATCTATTAGTCACTGGGACTTTGTAATTTGGAATGTCACAAAGCAGTGGCTCTCACCTGTGGGTCTCAATCCTTTGCCAAACTTCTGTCTTTGAAAATGTCTGCATTACAATTCATAACAGTAGCAAAATTGTAGTTATGAAGTAGCAACCAAAAGAACTTCAAGGTTAGGGGTCGCCACAATAGGAAGAACTGTATGAAAGGGTCACAGCATTAGGAAGGTTGAGAACCACTGGTATAAAAGGCATGTCCATGACTATCCCTGAAACAAAACGTGAGAAATCATCAAACTGCTTCCTGGAATAAATTCTCGAAGTAGATTACAGAGTGAAAAGATGAATATATTCCCCATACATACAGAAAACAAATAGTGCAATATTCACACACACGGACCATTTTGAGTGAAAATGTAGGTAAGTAGCCAACATTTTCCCCCTGAAGTTTTGGCACGTGCCTCTCTCTGGGCACCACAGGAGAAGCTAAGAAAACATCCAAGATTTACATTCAGATCTTACTACTTCCCTCAAGGTGTTGTGTACATTTTCTAAACATGGATTCAACTATGTCATGCATTTTCTGTGGTCTTTATGTCCCAAAGTTCAGTGAGGTGCATGCATTATTTCTTTGGTGTGGGATGTGGACCCCAGCACCATGAACCATATAGTTCCAGCAACTGGGCCATTTTATTATTATTTTTGCATGATCTAGCGAAGCTAATATTGGAAGGGTGTGGTGTTGGGTCTCAGTCAACATTCATCCCCACCCTGCCCCCTCTCCACAGGCCGCAGACACCCCACAGATATAAACCCTCACACCAAAATTTGGTCTCGATTTTAACGTCCCTTCTGGAATTGAACATGAGTCAGGGTTGGTTGGATAGCTCAGTAGGTGAAGACACTTGCCACTAAGCCTGACAAGCTGAGTGTGGTCTCTGGGTATCACAAGAAGGAAGGAGAGAACTAACTCCTTCCCACAAGCTGTCCAGTGCCCCACACCCACCCAAATAAACAATTTTTTAAAAGATTTATTTACTATGCATACAGTGTTCTGCCTGCACGTATGCCTGCAGGCCAGAAGAAGGCACCAGATATTGTAGATGATTGTGAGCCAACATGGTTTCGGGGAATCGAACTCAGGACCTCAGTGCTCTTAACCTCTGAGCCATCTCTCCAGCCCAACAATTTTTTAATTAAAAGAGCTACAGCCTAGAATCTGAGTTATCAATAGTGATAAAGAAGGAAACATTTCAAAACTGGTCTCAGGTTGTTCTTAGTATGACAACAGAAAGAAAGCCATGAAGTAAATACAAATCTTAACAAGCCAGTTTTGAAGTCGGGATTCTTATTAGGGCCAAGTTCCCCAGATGTAATGTGCACAATTGGCCACTAGATGGCAACCGTTTCCTTTGGCTTTAACCACAGTGACATTTCACAACTTGCAGAATGAAATAATCAAAGGAAACGAATGATGCCAGACAACTGAGAAAGTTTGTTTGCTTTCTGGTGGAAATATATAGTATAACCAGTTTTCATAGTAGTAAATCATGGTTTTCAAAAGTTAAATCAAGTTATACAAGCTTCAATTCTGTAGACAGAGTTTCTGTCCCACCCGGTTCTACAGCCGTTTAGCCCCAAATAAACACACAAAAATTTACATTAATTATGAACTGTTTGAACTATTGTTTCAGCTTCTTATCTATAACTACTAATCTCTGTATTTCCACATGGCCTTATTCTTACCGGAGAATGCTTGGATCTGTTACTCCTTTGGTGGCTTCATGGCATCTCTCTTCTCTGGCGGTTCCTCTCTCAGCTTTCATCTCCCCAGAATTCTCTTCTGGTAGCATCACCTATATTTCCTGCCTGGCTACTGGCTAATCAGTGTTTTACTCAGCATCAATAAGAAAGACATACAGAAGGACATCCCCCACCACAATTCTACTTGTAGAAGCACAGGCAAGAAAAGGGAGAAACAGTTCATTATTCAGAGATGGCAATGGTCTAGGGAGCTGCCTGCCATGGCATCAGCAAGATGAGTATGTGTAATGGAAGACGGTTGGCATACTGTGACTGCGTGCATGAGGCACAGTGAGGTACGCCAGAGAGGCAGGACTACACTGCCCGGCAAGGGGAAGGCTTGGAGTAATTCTGGGAGGTAAGGAGGCATCCCAAGTTCAGATTATGAGGAGCCGGCACAGCACAGCTCTGTAGTGTCACAGTCACTGACTGTGCACTTACAGAAGTAAAGACCCCAAGGCCCTGCACTAGACCAGGGACTAGGAAATGAGAGAAGACCAACAGTGCCGATGCTAGGACAAACTGACACAGTCAGACCTACCTCTGCTTCCCAGACAAGAGGAACACTGCTGTTGACCAATGGTTGAGTGGGGCGCCAGGGCTCTGCTCCATTTACCTGAGCAGTAACATTTGTTCTTAAATAGTCAGAAAGTTCCTGTCCTAATTCTTTTCTAAGTCTATAATGTGCACCTGAGGCCATTTCTGATGAGTTACAACATTTCAGTGCAACCTCCGCTACTCTACAGGGATCCTATTAGCTACCTAATGTCAGGTGCTTACAAACTTGAGACATTCAGGGAAAAGAAAAACACTCCTAGCAACCACTTATCTGCACTAAGTCATCATACTGGTCCTGAATTTTTTTATTATCAAATTCACTTGAGAAACTTTAGGAGTGATAAGTATTTGATCAAGAAGTTCATTCAAGCCAGGGATGGTGGCACACAACCTTAATCTCAGGATTCAGGAGGCAGACTCAGGTATAGCTGTGAGTCTGAGAATAGCTGTGTATGCAACAGTGAGTTCCAGGACCAGCCAGGACGGCATAGTGAAACCCTGTATTTAAAGATGAGCTCCACTAGGAGAGTCAGCAAACTAAGGAATGCAGTGCTGAGTGGGGGAGAGGTGAGGGAGTCATCACTTAAGACAAGAGTGCTTTTTCCCTCTGGATTCCAGACGGGGAACACTCTGCTGACAACACCTTGCAAGACAAGGGCCTTGACAGTTTGGTGTGAAGGTGCATGCCTTTAATTTAAGCACTGAGGATGCTTGACTGTGGCAAGTTCAAGGCTTCCCTGAACTACATAGTGAACTCAAGACTAGCCTGAGCTACATTTTTTGCCTTCTCAAAAAAACAAACAAACAAAAAAACCAAAAACACAACCAAAACAAACAAACAAAAATTAAAAGGAAGGGGGGTTATGGAACGATAGTGATAATATTGGCAACATTTCTGAATTCCTTTAACACCGCCCCCACCCACACAATGCTGCCAGAGCAAGGAATATACACAACCTTTCACAGAGACTGTAGAAACACAGCAACTGAGGTACAAAACTTGTTCAATGTACATAGCTTCACTGATTAACAAGGCATGGAAACAAGAGTCCTTGGCCTTGAGGAACCAGCTGGAACTGGAATGGTTTTGCACCCTTCAACAGTGGGTAGAACAGGAGAACTAAGGCATTATATGAAACAGCTACATTTGTGGGCACTATTCATACTAAACCAATGGCCAAGACCATGCAGAGCTTAAGGGTGGTTCACACTGTAACTCAGCTCCTGGGAGGCTGAGGCATGATTACAGTTAGGTCAGCCTCAACTACAGAGCTCTTGTCTTAGAACCCAAGGTGAAGACAAGGCTTACTAGGATAGTCATAAGCAAGGCCCTGGATCTGATTCCCAGAATCGCAAACAAATAAAACCCAGGTAAGAGAACTGGCACAGCAGGCAGACATTTAAAAATACACTGCTTGAAATGGACAACAGCCAGACCTCAGTGTCCATAGGCAACGTACATAGACACGGAAAAGGAACAGGAAATTTCAAACAGCCAAAGAGAATACCTTACTAGTTTGCTATAATAAAACTAAAGTTACACGAAACATTAGGCTCTTCACAAACCCATACTTCTGAACTCAGAGACCAAGGGAAAATGTATAATTAATATTTACAAATATTTTAAGGCGAACATTGTATGTAAAATCAGTAAGGGTCTTTGTTTTGTTTCCCATTACTTGATGAATACTCTTGACAAGCAACACACACGTGTACACACGAGTAAAGGGAAAAGCACACAGTAGCTACCCAGAGAGCACGCCCTCCACCTGCACTGTTTGGGGGCCTCTACTGCTCACTGCTAGTAACTCGGGAAAGGGGGCATCCTGCACTATGCTTTTCTTTTTGGGGCAGAACTGTCCACCCACGCAGGGCAATTCCTTTCAAACTTTTAAAATTATATTTTAAAATTAGCTGAGTAGTGGGTTGCATAAGGCATTTCCACCATCCTGTCCTTTTTTGGT